AGACCATAGACATACTTTATTGTGACTAGCCAAGAAAAAGAAATTACAGAAAGAAACAAAATTCTGCTCTTTAACTTTTCCCTTCTGAGCATGGGTTTACATTTAGATAGAAGCTCACAGGCAAATCTGATCAACTTTTTTTTAGTGGTCTACAGGTCAACAATCGTTCGAATGCTTTTATTTATTTATTTTAAAAAGGACGGAATGTCTGTGGCCCTTGTGCAGGGCCACGCTCATCTCCTCTATGTCGTTCCAACTTCAGGGTATGTGCTGCTGAAGAGCACATGCTCGAATGTTTTTAAAGCATATAGTACAAGTATTTACAAGTATTTATGGAATTTTCAAATTTGTCTAAAGTCTAAAACATTTACCATTAAAACAAAGTATGCCAACTCCTGGTGTAAATTTTAAAAATATTTAACTAAATGTATAATTAAAAAAAGTTTAGAAATGAATTGCCTAGAGCTCAAACACCTAGACTGTGCTTTCTAAATAAGTGTAGAAGTTTTAAGATCAAGGCTATTCAAATTTTAACACTCATTATAAATTCATACTGAAAGTAAGTTTTCTGAATTTTACAAAACACACATCAAATTAAGCAAATGAAACCTTGTCTGATATTAAAGATAAACATTTCATTAGTGTGACAACCACTTTTCAAAATTCCCTATTATGTTTACTTATTGCTATCATACTATAAGCTAAAACCATAACCAGCTGAAATTCAAGATAAACACTGACCTCAACACATGCAATTTCTGAAAACCTGTTGAATGATTTTCTTCCAGATACTATTTCAGAATATTCCCAAGGGTCTTTTTTGCTTGATGTGTTTTATTTAAAAACACTAAAACCAACAATTACACATCACCACCACTTTGGCAAGGCAGTCTGTGAGTGATGTGCTGCCACAGTTCTTCCAAGGGGCCAATAAAATGGAAACTCACAAGACTCTGCGTGGCTCTAATATGTATCTTGAGCTGTGTGTGCAGCTCAGTGGTAGTGTGCTTGCCTAGCAAATGTTGGGCCTTGGGTTGCGTTCCTAGCACTAAAAGCAAAAGCTATCTTCTCATTTTCAAGAATAGGAAGGGTTGCCGGGCGCTGGTGGCTCACGCCTGTAATCCTAGCTACTCAGGAGGCTGAGATCTGAGGATAGCGGTTCAAAGCCAGCCCAGGCAGGAGAGACCGTGAGACTCCTATCTCCAATAAACCACCAGAAAACCGGAAGTGGCGCTGTAGCTCAAGTGGTAGAGCACTCGCCTTGAGCTGAAGAGCTGAGGGACAGCGCCCAGGCCCAGAGTTCAAGCCCCACGACCGACAAAAAAAAAAAAAAAAAAGAATAGGAAGGGGTTTGATTGAGCTTAGTATAGTGTATTCAGTAGATACCCGAATGGCTGGTTAATGTGTTCTTCCAAATTACAGTGAAAATACCAGCACCTCATAGGATTTGATTTTAACTGTACTAAGTCTCTGTTTAGAATAGCTGTGTCTGCCCACTCCCTCATGCACTGGGTAACAGGCCTACTTTACCCAGCAGTTTTAACTCCTGGGCACCAGTCAGGGTTGTTAGCTTCTACAGAACTTACAGGAGTGGAGTTTGCAGAAATACAGAAATTCAGGTACCCAAACTTAGGTAGAACAGAATGAAAGGATGGTAAGAGGAGTCTTTTCTAATAACTGCCTTTTAAGTGCAGCCCTACAGACAGCAACAGTTCCAGGAAAATGGAACCAGAACAAAAGCTGAGAAAGGAATAGAATTAAGCTTGTTCAAGGAGCCAGACACTGGTGGCTCACGCCTGTCATCCTAGCTACTCAGGAGGCTGAGATCTGAGGATCACAGTTCAAAGCCAGCCAAGGCAGGAAAGTCCATGAGACTTTTTATCTCTAATTAACCACCAGAAAATGGAAGTGGAGCTGTGGCACACTGAAAAGGAGAGAAGCATAAAAAAGGTGAACAGACTGGGTCACCAATGGCTGACACCTGTAATCTACTTACTCAGGAGGTTGAGACCTGAAGATCATTGTTTCAAGCCAGCCTTAGAGCACACAAATCTATAATACTCTTATTCCCAGTTAACGAGACATAAGCCAGAACTAGAGGCATGAATCATATGGTACAGTGCAAGCCATGAGTGAAAGCATAAGGCCTTGAGTTCAAGCTTTAGTACCGATGCAAAAAAAAAAATGGTGGAGACAGGACCTTGTAGAAACTGAGATGCTTATTAAAACCAGCGATAAAGCTTTTTAAACATTTGGAAATCATCAAAACAAGAAATGACTACATGGGACTGCATGAAATTAAGAAGGAAGTCTAGAGTTAGTGGGGGACTAGGAATGAGGCCCATATAGAAAAGGCAAGACAGGAAAGAGAAAAAGAGTGCCAAGTATGTGTCTGTTAGGGCTGTACCAGTAAAATGCCACTAAGGCTGAGTAAGAAGACAGATCAGATTTGGCAATATAAATGAATAGTGGTTTTGACAAAAGTGATTTCAATGAAACAGAGGCAGGAATCTGGAGGGAAGGAAAATAAAAAGCCATGGCAAGAGATTGCCATTAACAAGAGAATAATAGGTTAATATATAAACTCTCCACAAAGGTGACTTAAGAATTACATGGGAAGGGCAGCAGTTAGTGGAGAGATGGATGTCAAGGGAGGGTCTTATTTACTCTTTTCACAAACATAGGCTATAGATAGCAAGTGAAAAGTCAGTGCTAATAACAGTCAGAATTCTAGGATTGTCCAACTAGAAGTATATCTACCATTGTAACAAGAGACTAATCAGAAACTTGTGCTGATGAAGATAACATGTTCAATTTTAGGGTAAAGATGAGGAAATTATAGGATACGACTATCCAATGAAAGGTGATGAATTGAGAAAAAATAACCTGTATGGAATAATACTCTGGACAGTTAGTAAACCTGTTAAATATGGCTGCATAAGGACTATTAATCAATTCTGTGTGCCATTTGGAATATGTTGCCATAAAAGTTAAAGCTTGATTGTATGAATTTTCCCCAGCAGGGTGAAGCTATGAATTTTTGGATAAGATTAACAGAGGAGAAAAGGTAAGAAAAATTATTTTGGACTATAACATCTAGACTACATAAGGAATAAAGGTCACACAAGAAAGGTCAAATGGAAAGGTGGTAGAATTAATGGTCTGAGAATATTCTAGAGAGCAAGTTACAAAGACAGAAAGGATACAGTAATAAGAGTGTTAGAAGGAAGATTAGGTTCAGAGATTTGTTGATGACAGTTACAGCAGACAACTTCTAAGGGTAGGCGCAAGTGTGAACTGGGTGGATGGGGGTGTTGTGTAGTGGAGTGTGTAAGGAAGTGTGAATTGGGTGGATGGGGTGTGAGTGGAGTGTGTGAAGTAGAGAGGAGGTTACGTTTGGCTGAGGATCAGCGAAATAAGTAATTCATGCATGACACAACTAGTTCTAAAGTCTCATGAGGCAACATGAATAGCAACTTAAATAGTAGTTAATATTAAAGAAGAGCTGTTTTCTTTCTTGAAATAAAATTCCAATACCCTACTAATAAATTTTAAGATCTTAAATGATACTAATAATTGAATGAGCAAAGATAAGAAAGTTACACCTCACCCTCTTCTGCGACAGTTCTGGGGCTCAGACGGAGTCTTGAGCTCAGCTTTCTTCCTCATGGCTGTCACCCTACTACTTGAGACACTCCTTCAATTAGGCTTTTTGCTGGTCAATTGATGGTAGAGTCTCCCAGATTTTTCTGCTCCTGCTGGCTTCAAACTGATATCCTCCAGGCCGGGCGCTGGTAGCTCACGCCTGTAATCCTAGCAACTCGGGAGGCTGAGATTTGAGTATCATGGCTCAAAGCCAGCCTGGGCAGCAAAAGTCTGTGGGACTTTTATCTCCAGTAAACCACCAGATAACCACAAGTGGTGTTGTAGCTTAAGTGGTAGAGCCTTGCCTTGAGCTGAAGAGCTGAGAGACAGCACCCAGGCCCAGAGTTCAAGCCCCACGACGATGACTACCACCACCACCACCACCAAAAAAAAAAAAAAAACCCCGATACCCTCCAGATCTCAGCCTCCTAACTATTTAAGATTACAAGCATGAGCCACTCAGCTTGTTTTCCTTCTTACCTTAAGTAAGATGCTACTTCACCACTATATTTAAGTACTGATTATTCAGATACTCTGCTGCCATTATAGATAGGCAAGGGACTACTTTTTACTTACTTCAGGTATCTAAATGGAGAAAGACATTTGGTTTGATTGGCTATTCATAAAACAGGAAAATAAACAACTTTATCATATATATCCAAATGAAATAAACATTTTATTACATATTATAGCAACTGAAACATGCATTCATTTTGACAAAAGTAATGTATCAAAATATTATAATAGCTATTAGAGTATTTGCCAAACAGCTGGCTACACTGAATTGAAATATTTAGGAAACATAGTTACAACTTTAGGAAATTTAGTGCATTCTAATACATTGAAATAAAAATACGTACCTGCTAACAGTATGCTGAAACTATTGATATATCATCTAGATAAACATTTTAAATCAGGACTTTTCTAACCCTTCTATTTTTATAACTTGTATAATGTGAACTATTTTACACATTTTAATATAGCTTTTAATCTAAAACTATTAACTGTATTCAGAATACATAAATGCATTAAGAATACATTTTATGTGATACATTTTATTGAACTAGTTTGATGAGTATTGTTAGCTATTATAACTATTACAAAAATAATCCAATTCCTTGTATTGTTTTCCTAAAACATCCCCTTTCTACAAAAGAAAAAAAAGAACAGCATTGAGTAGACAAACATCTTTTGGATTTGAAGTCATGTTCAGCAGTTTTTTTCACTTATAAGATAGGCGTTTCTTTCATTTTGGTGCACATTTCCTATAAATGTGTACTTTCTTGGGTGCTGTCTACTTTACTTTGAAGTTATACACAAAAATAATAATTAGATAAAACATTAGCAACTAGATTTCACACATTATTATTTCTCCCATGAGCCAAGAATAATGACATCAGTCCTTTACGTATATTGTGAAGTTCCTCTTCTTGCTATGACCAAGAAAAAAAAAAGATACTTAGATTTTCATTATCACGGTACAAGCACCATATAAAATAGACAATATATCAGCCTTTCATAGGAATTAATTTTAAAATAATCCCTTTTATAGATTCAAGATAATATCTGGGCTGGGAAGGTGGCTCAGTGGTAGAGTGCTTGCCTTGCATGCATGAAGCCCTGGGTTCAATTCCTCAGCATCACATAAGCAGAAAAAGCCAAAAGTGGTACTGTGGCTCAAGTAGTAAAGTACTAGCCTTGAGCTGAAGAGCTGAGGGACAGTACCCAGGTCCATAGTTCAGGCCCCATGACCGACAAAAAAAAATTTTAAAAAGATAATTGCTGAATTAGGTCTTGCCATCTTTTAAATCACCACATCAAAGAAATTTATTTTTGAGGGAAGAAAGTAAAACAAAAATAGTCTGAAAAAGTTTCAGTAAAGTCAATGTAGTCTAGTGGCTAGCTTCTTGTTTGCTTCAAGCTAGGCAAATTTAGCCACAACATCCTCGTGTACTACCATTCTACTACACTGAGATTCTAGCAAAATTTTCTAAGAATATTCATATACCTTCCAGACAAGTATTAGGGCCAAAGTGTGCTTAAAAATGCCTCCCATATTTAAGAAAAGTACTTTAAGCATGCTCAGGGAGAGGAGCATGATTAGTGTTTCTCAGTGTACTTTACCCTCAGAAAGCAGCTGATAGTAGATGAGACCTTCAAAAAGTGAACTTAATTTATCTAAGTAAGTGAAGTCTTGTTTTTCAAGTGGATAATCTATTGAGCTTTTCCAGGTAGCCTTGCCACATGATTTAGAGCACAATGTTTGGAAATGGTGCAAATAAGTTGCTTCTAAAGCTAGTCTGTTGTTTTTGGTTTGGGGGGTTGCTTTTTTTAGTTTTGGGGTTTTTGTTTATTTGTTTTTGGTCAGTTGTGAGGCTTGAACTCAGAGCCTGGGCACTATCCCTGAGATTTTCACTAGTCTAGTGCTCTACCACTTTGAGCCACAGTGCCACTGTCCATTTTCTGGTGGTTAATTGGAGATAAGAGTCTCATGGACCTTGCTGCCCATGCTGGCTTTAAACTGCGATCCTCAGATCTCAGTCTCCTAAGTAGCTATGATTACAAGTGTGAGCCACAGCTTAATCTTTTTTTATGTTTGTAAACTTATATTTATTTACCTTAGGATAGATGACTTATTTAAATTACTTCATTCTTTTACTATATTTAGCATCATATTATTTAAAGAACTAAAACACATAAGGCTGAACCTGCCTTCTCCTAACCCAAAAAGAAAAAGAAGAAAAGCCTTTGAAGGAATTTCTCATAAAACATACAAAAGTAGTCAGACATTGGTGGCGTGTGCCTGTAATCTCAGTACTTGGGAGGCTGCGGAAGGAGAGTGACAGGTTCAAGGCCAGCCAAGGTTACGTGGTGAGACACCACAAAAAAACACACACAAGATACAAAAGCCACCAAAATTAGCTGATTTACCATTTGTTTAAGAAGTTTGTCCTGTAGTATTTTCATGTTTTCTTTCATTGAAGACATCTGAAAATAAGCATATTCCCCCGTGAAATTGGCAAAACTTTCACCGCAAAAGAAAACAAGTTAGGATCATTTGTTAAGATTCTGTAAGATTCTGTAAGTACAGAATTCATACCTGAGATGAAAATACAGATTCTTCAAAATCATTGTTGCCAAAGACATTTTTATTCAATGCAGTTTCCAAATGACGAAGCCTAACGGAAGCAAATGAGAGCTACTTTCATATTGATCAGGAGCTCTAATTGAATTGCTACAGTATAGCAAATAAGAGCTACTTTCATACTGATCAGGAGCTCTAATTGAATTGCTATAGTATAGCATTTGCGATTTTTTTCAAATGTAAACTTATTAGTGATTTTTAAATATTTTTATAGATTCGAATCCTGAAGGGAATACTAACCTCTGCTGTTCATTTTTCTGATATACATTGAGCTTCTGAAGTGCTCTTTCCCAAAAGTCCTAAAATTCAAGATACAAACACTAGTTGTACTTTACTATTCCAAATGGTCTTTCTGAGGGGGAGGGGCAGCACTGGGGGGTTGAACTCAGGACCTCACCTTTCCTAAGGCAGGTACTCTAATTTTGAGCCATAATTCCCATTCCTTCCTTGCTTTATTTTTCTGGATAGTGACTTACATTCTTGCCTGGGGTCACCCTATACCTATTTCTCCTTTACAATTAAAGTGACAAGTGTACACCATCATGCCAAACTTGTTGGTTGATATGGACTCTCTCTAATTTTTGCTCAGACTGGCTTTGGACTATGCCTCCAAAGAGCTGAGATTATAGGTGTGAACCACCCACATCTCCTGGCTACTAGTCCTGACTTAAACAATTTGAATATATGTTACTTATATGTTAAATGTATGTATATTTAAAATTGGAAATAAAAATCTCAATTTCTCCCATATTATAAAAAGGTTCACCATTAACTTGTAATTCATTGTTTATATGAAGCTGATTTTAAAAATAAACTTAAGATAAAATTGTGTTCAAAAGAATGAGAAGTGGCTAGATGTCTGGGTATGGTGGCTTATGTGTGTAATCCCTGCCATTTGGGAGGTGATATCTGGAGAGCTATAGATTAAAATCATTTGGGAGGTGATATCTGGAGAGGTATAGATTAAAATCATTTTGGAGGTGATATCTGGAGAGCTATAGATTAAAAACATTTGGGAGGTGATATCTGGAGAGCTATAGATTAAAAACATTTGGGAGGTGATATCTGGAGAGGTATAGGTTAAAATCATTTGGGAGGTGATATCTGGAGAGCTATAGGTTAAAATCATTTGGGAGGTGATATCTGGAGAGCTATAGGTTAAAATCATTTGGGAGGTGATATCTGGAGAGCTATAGATTAAAATCATTTGGGAGGTGATATCTGGAGAGCTATAGGTTAAAATCAGTCTGGCACAGAGTTGGGGAAACACAGTTTGGACCAATAACTGGGCCTGGTGGCACGTGCGTCTCATCCCATCAGTGTAGGAAGCATAAGCAGGAGGATCACAGTCCAAGCTACACATGACACAACCACAAAGACCTATTTGAAAAATAAAACAAAAGGAGTTATGAGTATGGCTCAAGCGGTAGAGCGCCTGCCTACCAATTGTGAGGCTGTGGGTTCCAACCCCAATACTTACAAAAACAAACAAGCAAAAAAAAAGGAGCAGAAGTCTTTAGGATATTCCCTCAAAACAAAAAGTAAATGAAAGTTTTTAGAAGTAAAGTACACCAATACTGAGTTTTTAATAGAATATAAATTCTTAAAAGACAAACCACAAATTCCTTCTCTAAATCCTTTAAAGACTGTGAATCTTTTTCAAAATTCTCCAGCTCTTCTGTGATGATGAATTTGAATTTATCAAGTTTTTTAATTCTGACAAAGAAACAAAGTAAGATTTAAAACTGCAACATTCAGAACATGCATTCATAATTTATGAATGTGCATCATTCAGAGGTTATCAGAATAGATTTTCATTACAAACCTATTCTCCTGAATTTGATGGTTCATTGTTTTCAGATGTTGTTGAGCTGTTTTCCAAGACTGCATAGTATAGTACTCTATTATTTTATTTCGCGCCTGAAAAAGAATCATTTTAAAATTAAATAACTTTACAAAATAACATTCTAAACAAGAGCATATTTGAGTAAAGCTTTTCCATGACATGTGAATGGCTAAGAACTTGGGAAAATAGTTTTAAAACTTCCAACTCTTAAGTCTCTTTTTTAAAAATTTTAACTAAAGATAATAAGAGAAATATTTTAAACTCAGTTATTTAACATTAAGTTATTTTGGTTGACGGTTTATTAAATACACTACATTTGTAGCTTATTGAAAATAAGAACACATACTGCACAGACAAACTGCTGAATTATTAGGAATTCTTTTAATATGTACATGTGATCATGTAGTAGTGGGTCATTTTTGTTAAGACAGGAACTAGACCATGACTTGTAGCATGTTAATGCTGAAATGTTGATGCAACCATGTCTGTTAACAAGATTACTGCTCAATAGTATCTAAGGAAGAGGACAGTCATTGTTTTGCTTTCACAGAGTTTTCTAAGTCCATTCTGTACGCACTCTCTCTGCCTTTTACAGAATGAGTTGTATAGAATGATGAAGCAAAAAAATCAATTTCTTTTTTTAAAAAAAGAAAACAAACTAGAGCCTATTTACAAAACATGCAAAAGGAGAATTTCATGCCGGTGTCTCTGCAGAACTGGTCTAAAGTGAATACAGTTGAGTAACAGCATACACCTTTACTTCTACAAATTATAGGAACATGAAGTTTAATAAGTTCAGTTGGGGCAGTGTCTAATTCTGTTGATTAAGGCTTTAATTGTGGGTTGATTAAATTTGCTAATTATTTTCATAAGAATGCCACAGCCTACAGTACTAACAAAAACTGCTAGTGGTTCTGATTCTTTATGATAGCACAGCCAAAAATATGGAACATTCTTAACATTTTTTCAAAAAGCATGCATTTACATCTAGTCACAGGCAAGTGTTACAGAACATACACATCATGTATTCTCTATTTAGACCATATTGACCTGAAGCAAATAAGGTGAAAACAAACTAAATGTCAAGAATTTTAGCTAATTTCAGATTTTACCCTTAAATAGAAGAAAAAGACAAAGCAAGACATGGGCTAAAAACATGTGCTGACATATATGTTCAAAGAAAAGCATAAAAGAACTATCAATTCCAAATACAGGTGAATGAGAGAAAAATGTAGGTGAGAAAGCATTACTACTGATTAAAAATTGTTTTGAAAGCATAAATCATCTCATTGGAGCCCCCCAACCAGTGACACTTATGTACTGAGCTGGCAGACCAAGCTGGGAGTATAAAATGCTGTGCCACACTACCATCACTAATAGTCACCCCTCTGTGAAACACAAACATGACTAATAAGACAGGGTTATGCATGGAATCCTAGCTACTCAGGAAGTAGTGGCAGAGAAGACCATTCTTTGAGGCCAAGCATGGCAAAGAGTCCCAGGGACCTTGTCTCAGTAAATTCCTTGGCATGGCGGGGAATACCTGTCATTCTAGTATAGTGGTAAGGATACAGTAAGAATATCTCAGTCTAGACACACCCTGATAAATTACAGAAAAAATAAAAAAGGCTGGAGGTGTGGATTAAGCAGCCCACCAAATACCAGCCTACCAAGCATGATGACCTAAGTTCAAACCCCAGTATGGTCCCAAGAAAGTCTTAAGAAGAGAAGCATGAAGAGAAAATTGTTCAGAAAAATCATAGAAAAGCAAAAATATAAAACTGAAAGGGAAAACGGGGTAAAAGAGAAAGAATTAGTAGAGTAAGAATATGAATAACAGATTTGAGGTGTGAGAAAAACTCAAGGTTATGTGTTTTTGTTTTTTTTGTCAGTCATGGGACCTGAACTCTGGGCCTGGGTGCTGTCCCTCAGCTCTTCAGCTCAAGGCTAGCAATCTACCACTTGAGCCACAGTGCCACTTCTGGCTTTTTTTTCTGCTTATGTGGTGCTGAGGAATCGAACCCAGGGCCTCATGCATGCAAGGCAAGCCCTCTACCACTAAGCTACCTTCCCAGCCCCAATTTTTTTAACCTGATAATTTTTCCAGTTTTTCACATATATAGAAAAATTGAATCATAAATGGGTGTGTTATGTTGCCCAAGGAACAAACAACCAACAGTCTGACAGAAAAATGTGGCATATTACATGGAGTGTAAATAATAAGTGCTGAGAACTTACATCAAGCTTCCTCTTAAATTCAGAGTTGATCTTCTCACAGAGCACCCCCACACCTGATGATAGGTCACTGCCCCAGTTTTCCTCAGAAATGGAAATATCCTTTGGTGATAATGGAGATATACTTTGAGACACTAAAAGGTGAAAACAATCAGGTACAGTTAAATCTACATTATTTCAAAGTTAGCCTTGTCATTAGGTAAAATCATCTTTCTTATTTCTGATTCTATGTACAATCTAAAAATTATGAAATCAAGAGCAGACCTCATGTTTAAATGTAAAACAATTCATATTTATTTTTAAAAAAACCTTTAAGATGGCCACTACTAATGTAGATATGGCGAGTTTAAGTGGAGCATTTAGGGATTATTTTTTAACTGCTTTAAATGACTTCCACGTTATGAACATGAGTGACATGCTCATGCTCCAAGAAGCTCATACTCTAGCAACACCAAAATATAGCATGAAGGGACTGGATGGTGAGTGAGCTTACTGAGTATATAAGACAGTTACTACAGCATTAGTCATCGTAAGTGAAATTTGTGGTACAAAATCATCTGTCTTGGACTTAACCAGCTTTCTTTACAAAGGGGTTTATTTTGTGAATGAAGTTATTCAAAATCTAAGAATCCATCTTCCAAAACATTGCATTTTGACATAAGCTTTTGATCTACTCACATTTATAGGTGTGATTATCTGCATCTTCCATTTTACACAGTCTTTTGGAAGGCAAGTGTGCTCTTCTTTCTTCTGCTTCTTCTGTCTCTAGTTCAGAATTACTTACATTATCTTCTATGATCATTCGTTTGAAACTAAGATGCTGAGTGGGGCCTGAGGAACAGTTAAAAATAAATAATAGTGCTACAATTTTGACTAAAAATGCCTAATATTTCATTGCTTTTATTAACAAACCTTTAAGTTATTTCTACTGTTTTAAACAACTGTGTATTCATTTTTTTACATTAGCTAAATTGAGAAATGGTATAACTTACATATATAATTCATTTAGGTGATATTTTAGAATATTAGTTAAGTAATTAGTAACTTGTTTAAAAGCAAAGCTGTGACAACAAACCTGATCTATGAGTAGTATTGCTGAGTGTGTCAAACACTAGTTTCTGTCTTTCTTCATTAGATAAGGACATTGAAGATACTGAACTGTTTTCCTAAAATACATAATGAAAATTAGAAAAAGGTACTATAAGTCTGCATGGATTCATCTGGGACCATCATTCTCAAACTCAGAATATTTCAAATACTGTCAGTTCCTTTTCAGACTATTTTGCTTCTATCATTTCTTTTTTATCTTTAACACTATCTTTAGTTGTTAGATTAATGTTAATCCTATGGTGGTAATTTTGAGCTGCCTTATTTGACTAAGTTTGCTATTCACCTTGTTTTTGTTAAGGTTATTGTTTCCATATTTGAGTTAGGAAATACAGGGCATAGAAAATTAATTTTAAATTATTTCCTTTTAACCAAAATCTTCATATTTAACCCTCTATTTTCTTGTCAGAATGCATAGTCTTTTTCTGTACTTATTAACCTTCTTTTCTCTACTTAATCTGTATATTCTAGTCCATCTACTTAGGCCTACCACAAATCCAGTCCACTCTAACCATAAAATTCTGTCTTGATCTTCTGAATTTTAAAGGTTATTAGATATTTTTGTTGATAGACTGATGGACTTTTATGGTAGCAAGAATCTCAACCAGACTGCTATATGATCATGAACCCTAGTTATTGATCTGTAAATCAGGGGTTAGCAGCTGTGTATTCTCTAAGACCTTACCGTTTTCACTTTAAGTGTGAATTTTTTCCTCTCAAGAACAAAAATTTTTCTCTGATAAGTCCAGTGTATATACTTTATGCATCAGTAAAGACTAGTAATTTGATTCTTTCAAGAATCATTTTAAGAAAACTTTAAAAATAATAGTATATTACCTCTCTTGCATTTTGCATATGATTTCCAATGATAGTTGGAGATTCAATTTCTACAAGATGTTTTTCAGAACTATTACTCCTTGCATCTGAATCACTATTACAATTTTGTGTTTCTTGTGTGAGTTCCACAGAATTTATATTTTTTCTATCCATAACAGTATTATTCTTAGATGGAGTATGCCTGGGCTATGAATGAGTAAGACATACAGAAACCCAAAGGAAGGTAAGATAACTGTTTAAAGTAAAAGAAAATGCTAGATATAGAAGAGGCAACATTAAATAACTTACATTTGAAGGGATTAATTCAATGCTAAATTCACATTTCATATAGTTTTTTTAAACTATCAGATAAATAGAACATTAGTGTAATGAAAAGAATGTACTAAAAACCATGGATGAAGAAACCTGCTTGGCTCAAAAATAAAAGATAAGCCGGGCGCTGGTGGCTCACGCCTGTAATCCTAGCTACTCAGGAGGCTGAGATCTGAGGATCGCGGTTCAAAGCCAGCCCGGGCAGGAGAGACCGTGAGACTCCTATCTCCAATAAACCACCAGAAAACCGGAAGTGGCGCTGTAGCTCAAGTGATAGAGCGCTCGCCTTGAGCTGAAGAGCTGAGGGACAGTGCCCAGGCCCAGAGTTCAAGCCCCACGACCGACAAAAATAAATAAATAAATAAAAATAAATAAAAGCAAAACCTCTTTGTTTATGGATATTATTTACTATAAGGCTACAGAATGATCATGATATTCCTTGGACATATTTTACTAAATTATAAAAAATAGAAAACATCATAATCCTTATTTTGATAAATACATGTTGAGCTAAAAGCACATTAAAATTAAGCTTAATTAAACTTCTACATATAACAAATTGCCAGGGTGCTGGCGGTCCCACCTGTAATGCTAGCTACTCAGGAAGTTAAGATCTAAGGATCATGATACAAAGCCAACCCTGGACAAGAAAGTCCAGGAGACTCTTATTTCCATTTAACTACCAAAAAAGCCCAAAGTGGAACTGTGACTCAAGTGTTGGAGTGCAAGCCTTGAGCAGAAAATTCAGGTACAGTGCCAAGACCCTAAGTTCAAGCCCAAAATGGGCACCAAAAATAAAAATAAAACCTTATAAATATATATTAAATGTTTCCTATATTGAAGCATTTGATTCTGACTTCCTAAGATAAAAATTCAAATTCGGGGCTGGGAAGGTGGCTCAGTGGTAGAGCGCTTGCCTCTCAGGCATGAGGCCCTGACTTCAATTCCTCAGCACCACATAAACAGAAAAGGCTGGAAGTGGCCTTGAGCTGAAGAGCTCAGGGACAGTGCCCAGGCCTAGAGTTCAAGTCCCAGGACCAATCAAAACAAAACAAAACAAAACCTTCAAATTCTACATATTAGCCAAATTCTCATGTTAGCCAATAAATTCCTATCATTAACTTGTTTAAAAAGGAATGTTATTTTTGGCACTACTGGGGTTTGAACTTAGGATCCTGTGCTTGCTAATCAGGGAAGTCTTCCACTTAAGCCAGGCTACTTTTCCTTTTTTTGGTTTGTTATTTTTCAAGTAATGTCTTGTATTTTTGCTTGGGCCAGTAATAGACCATAACCCTACTAGTTTTCCATGTAACTGTGATCACAGGTGTGTGCCATCATGCCTAGAGAAATAGTTTTAACTCAGTTTTTCCCCTTTGGTGGTAGGAGTTGATCTCAAAGTCTTCTGTTTGCTGGTAATCACTCTACTACTTGAGCGCTATCCATTGACATTTTATTTTAGTTTGCTTTTCAGACAGGTTCTCCCATTTTTTTCCAGACTGGCCTTGGACTGTGATCTCCTAGTTTTTCCTGCCGAATAGCTGGAATTAAAGGCATATGCCATAATACCTGGCTAATGACCTATACTCTTAAATAAATCCTTCAAGTTAGTCTTCAGATTATATTTTTATATACTTGGTTGTAGCAGAAAACTATTGACTATTCAAAGAAAATGGAAGGAAAATAAAATGATACTGACATCTCATTAATTCTATAGATGATGGACTCCCAGATAATGATACAGGAGAGAAGTCCAGGCTATTCTCTCTCAGAGTGTCTTTTTGTAGAGATGAGTTTTTCCTTCTTTTTGATGGTCCTTTTTGTGTTTCAGCAGATAAGACTTTCTGTTGTTTCTTTGGTAGTTTTGTGGTTTTGGTTCTGGAATGGATATTCTCCTCCTAAATGTATTAATAACTTTCCAATTATACATGACTATAAACATTTGTGAACACATAAAACACTGTATTGATATATGCATACATACATATATACATATGCAGTTTTATAATAATTATTACATAGATATGACATTAGTGACAATATACCAGGAAGATACAATTCATAAAATATACTAAACAGCATAAGAAACAAAATACTGTAAGCGTTCAAAGATGGTGATTATATTCAGTTTAGAGAAAAAGGAATTCCTGGATTTCATGGCACTTGAGATACTGAAGAGTTTATGAAAGAACATGCTAGAAGAAGATACAGTAAGAACAAGGAAGGCTGCTGATCAAAGCAGCCTACATCTTATCTGAAAGTCTTACAGACGATTATGGGAATATACTGGGGGTGAACAGAAATGAGCTTGAAAAACTTTATTATTTGAATATCTGACAAGATATTTCTGGAGATTTTATTTGAGGAAAGAGGATGAGAGTAGTGTAGAAAAGACTTCCTTAACTACATGTATGGTAAATTAAAGTAAGAAGTGATAAAAATGTAGAGGTCAGTTATGAAGTCCTTAAAATCCTTTCCATAAAAAATAATACGGTTAGCCGGGCGCTGGTGGCTCACGCCTGTAATCCTAGCTAGTCAGGAGGCTGAGATCTGAGGATCTCGGTTCAAAGCCAGCCCGGGCAGGAGAGACCGTGAGACTCCTATCTCCAATAAACCACCAGAAAACTGGAAGTGGCGCTGTAGCTCAAGTGATAGAGCGCTCGCCTTGAGCTGAAGAGCTGAGGGACAGCGCCCAGGCCCAGAGTTCAAGCCCCACGACCGACAAAAAAAATAATAATAATAATACGGTTACAAACCAAGGGATATGGATGTTTACTATCTTAAAAGCCAATAGTGTAGTAGTCAGAGCCTATGTTTAACACCAGACTCTCTGGGTTCGAGTTCAGTTCCTGGACCACTTTCCAGCTATATAACCTCGACTGGCTCCTTCTGTGGCACTTCCATTTTGCATTTGTAAAAGGAGATGGCAGTAATAGCACTAATTACCAATACTATATTATCAGATTCTAACAGATAAATTTATAAAGTGCTTAAATCTAACACTGATGCATTGTGACAGTTTTTCTTTTTTCCTTTTGAGTAGTTTCAGACACGGCTTGGAATATGATTGCCACCTTATGAGATATGAAATCACAGGTGGGGTGGTTTATGGAAACACACACACATTTTTGTGTGCCAGTCTTGAGGCTTGAACTCTGGGCTTGGGTGCTGTGCCTGAGCTTTTGTGCTCAAGGGTAGCACTCTACCACTTGAGTCACAGCTCCACTTCCACCTCTTTTTTGTGGTTAGTTGCAGATAAGAATCTAAGAGACTATCTTGCCCAGGCTAGCTTTGAATCGTGATCCTCAGATTTTAGCCTCCTTATTAGCTAGAATTATAGGTGTGAGCCACTGGCAACTGGCTATTTTCTGTCATTATTAAAAAGATTTGTAGTAGCGCTGTAGCTCAAGTGGTAGAGCGCTCGCCTTGAGCTGAAGAGCTGAAGGACAGCGCCCAGGCCCAGAGTTCAAGTCCCACAACCAACAAAAAAAAAAAAAAAAAGAAAGAAAATTAAAAAGATTTGTGGCTTCCAAATTTGTTGTACTTTATTAAAACATAATTTTGGAAAAGTAAAGTACTTTTTTATTTAAAAAGTATTTTACAAGTTGTACTTTCACTTGAATTAGACTTCTGTATTGTAGTGCTAATGCCAACTTATTGTAAAATAAGTATTATATTTCCTAAGAACCAAGTTTTAGAACTATTATAAAATGTTTTCTCATATAATAGGTTAAATCTCTTTTAAAGTGATAAATCTGTCACTTTTACAAAAATATGTATTTAGTATTTTAAGATGCTTTTAGAAATTACCACTAAATTCTGTTTACCTTTACTTGCAATTTTGAATGTGCATATTCTTCACTCTCTGATTCTGAATTTGAGAGATCTTTGTAATTTTTTTTTGTTTTTGCTGCTCTTCGTGGAAGTCTAGTTCTCCCATCTGGAACTGTTTCATTATTCTTTTTGGTGATGTTTTTATTTGGTTCCTTTAGGGAAAAAAATCTTGAACATTATTAAGCAATATTTGAGATACAAGTAATATAAGCTATTTTCTTTGAGAACTGACACCACACAAGACATATATATATGTATATTGTGTATGTATATATACATATCTATATATAATATAAGGTAAGGACAGAATGATTCTTGATTATTTTAAAATCTATATGTGTATATTTATGCATATAAACACATTTACATACTATATATAAACATTTTATATATTTATATGTATGTTATATATTATATATACATAATGATATAAAATAAACATATATAAGTAAATAAACAGGGGGAGTGATGCAGTGTCTCATAGTTCAGGTAACTTTGAACTCACTTATTGTAGCACAGTCTGGCCTTGAATCTGGTGTTGAGTTTATAGGCATGAGCCATCATGCTTCTATAAAGGATATTTTATCTTTCCCTACCATTAAATCTTTAAACAGACCTGTATTATCTAACTTAAGTAAAGGAAAATATCAAAAATTTCTATAACCAACATAACACTCAAAATAAGGCCACTATGACTCAACAAAACAAAATGCAAGAAAAAGTATTTTGCAAAGGTAGGAGAAACTATAGAAAATACTAAGAATAACAAGAAGATATTACACAATTAGTTTTAGATGACAAGAAAAATAACTGTAAAAGGGATGATTAAACATAGACTTCTTGATTTACCATTATAGATCTTGGCTGTCCCTTCTCCAAGGATGGCCCTACAATTCAGAAAAATAAGGGGGAAAATTCAAATAGATAAGAGTTGACACTAAATGTCTTAGACAATTTCTACAGATATAAGAACATTTAAAAGCATTTCCTTTATTAAAGCATATCTTAATATTTAATGAAACAACTTTTTATGTGCCTTCAAGCTACCAGGACACAGGCCCAGTTCACACCCCACTCAGCTGTTCTTTTTTTTTAATTTAATTTTATTTTATTTGTGAACATACTGTACAGAGGGGTTACAATTGCATGGGCAGGATAATGCGTACATTTCTTACCAAGCATTGCAGCCTCCTCCTTTGTTTACCCTTCACATCCCTTCCCATCCTCCCCCCTTCCCCCCCAATCCCAATCCTTCTCCTTCCCCTCCACCACCCCCCACCAACGTTGTAAAGCTCGTTTTGTACATGACAACTTGTACTTCTCATTGTTGCAACAGGTCCACCTGTATCCTTAAACAACTGGTTTTTCCCCATCTCCTCCACAAGTTATACTGACATCAAATATAGTGAAAGCAGGGGTTATACTGTGGGGGAGGGACATACAAAGCAACAAAGAGATAATTTTATAAATGCGTTAGAAACACATGCATGAAAGAAAAAAACATTAAAATACATATCTAAGGGTTCATTTTCCTGACATCACATTATCTGACCTTTTCTGCTTGACTCATACATATACTAGATATTGCAAATAAGGGAAACCATGGGACCTATGTTTCTTTGGGCCTGGCTTACTTCACTTAATATAATTTTTCCAAGTCTTTCCATTTCCTAACAAATGGGGCAATGTCATTCTTTCTGATGGAGGCATAGAATTCCATTGTGTATATATACCACATTTTCTTGATCCATTCATCTACTGAGGGGCATCTGGGTTGGTTCCATATCTTAGCTATGGTAAATAATGCTGCATCAGCTGTTCTTATGACAAATGTGGCCCTTGGATTGACAGGCTGTCTTGAGAGCTTTCCTTTCTACTATGGTAGCCACTAGATGGTATGCATCAACGAAGGGAAAGAATGCATCTTTACACGCATTCAAAAACTTGAACTTTAAAATAACTATAGTTTGGGATATGATATAAGCTGACATTTTCATTTTTTATACTATCAAACTTTTTAAACAAATAAAGCACATATAACCTAATATACCATATACCACTCAAGAGCTAGATTATGCATAATGTGGAACGTACTTCTTATATATGTTCTCTTTGTCCTCAGTATTCCCTCTGCTAAAAGGTATTAACTGTTCTGAAATCTGTGCTTCTCATTGTCTTGCTTTAAAAAACAAAGTTTTGCTGCACAGAAATGTCCTCTAAGTGAGTGTCCCCTCATCCTATACAAGAATTTTATGGTTTGCTTTATTTTGCATACATCATTATATTTCTAGGGTTTATCCATATGGTCCCACTTTCTGTTTTGCCTTTTAAGCATATTGTCATCTTTCTAAATAATTCTCTAGAAGTCAAAAATAAGATTATCCTAATAAAGAAATCAATGCTTACTTGGAAGAAAAGACCTTTGATACTGGCCATAAACAAGCTCATACATTGTTATCCAACCATTTAAACTAATTCACACAGTTCAATTATTATTTAAATTAGGTACTGATTATAGTATTATAACCTCTTAATAAGTTCTTAAAACTTCTAGTCTTAGCCCAGCACTGGTGGCTCATGCCTGTAATCTTAGCTACTCAGGAAGCTGAGATTTGAGGATCACGGTTCAAAGCCTGCCAGTGCAGGAACATCCATGAGACTCTTATCTCCAATTAACCACCAGAAAACCAGAAGTGGCACTATGGCTCAGTTGTAGAGCACTCTCCTTGAGCTGAAGAGCTGAGGGACAATGCCTAGGCCTAGAGTTCAAGCCCCATGACCAACAATTCAAAAAACAAACAAAAACCCTTCTAGTCTTCTATTTTACACTTTATTTTTATTTGTACATCTTTCCATTATGATTAAGTTCTTTGAAGACATGTCAGTGTTATGTCTCCTTAGCTTTAATCAACTTCAGCATCTACTTCATCATCACATCCAGCTTTACTTTATATTATTATTCCCACAAATATAAACAATATTCCAACTACTCCAATTCTTCATTTTCTGAATATACTGTGTCATTTCATACTTATCTCCCTTTGTATAAAATTACCCTACTCAATTTTTTGTCTGTGTACCTGTATGCAATCTAATCTGTTGGTAAGATTCATCCTCATCTCTAAAATATGCTCAAATTCACTTCTATTTTCACTTCTTTTAAGCCCACACTTACCCCCCACCACAGAGCATTACTGGTTATTTTTATCCCAAAATAAAAGCTGATAAGCTTAAATAGAAAACATTGCCTTATTTTAAAAATTGAGTATATAAAATCTAACGTTTTACCAAACACTATCATTGATGGTTAGTTAGGAAGAAAATTTCATTATCTAGCCCAAATCAGTACCTTAGGCCCTTACTCAACTACTTCAAGAAGTTACTATCACAAGAAAAGGTAGTAGCCAGATTCTAGGAAAATACCTTGTGGAAGACTTAGGCAAAAATCTACAAGAAAACTTTCTGGTAATTCAGTACATAGACAGAATCAAGGATGAAAATCACATGATCATCTGAATAGAGGCAGAGAAGGCCTTTAGCATCATCCAACATCATTTTATGATGAAGGTTCTGGAGAAGCTAGGAACAGGATTGTACCTCAACATAACACATGTGACAAACCTTTGGCCAGCATCATACTAAATGGTGAAAAACTGAAACTACTCCCTCAAAAATCAGGAATAAGAATATCCACTCTCTCTACTCCTATACAATATTATACTAGAATTTCTATTCAGACCCAGCAAGGCAAGAGCAAGATATAAAAGGAATCCAAATACAGAAGGTAGAAGTCAAACTAATCTGTTTTCAGATGATATAGAACAAACTAGAAGACCCAGAACCCACACAACTTCAGCCTTCCAACTTTTGACAAGGAAGCAACAACCTATGTTGGATAAAGACAGTCTCGTCAACAAATGGTGCTGGGAAAATTGGACATCTGAATGCAGAAGGAAAACTGTGTTCCAGCCTCTCATCTGTTACAAATATCAATTCAAAGTGGATCAAAGACCTCAATGATATACACCCAGAAACTACTCCTGGGAGTGAGGGAACACTAGAACTCATTGGCATAGGCAGCAACTTTCTGAATAGAATTCAGGGGCTCAGAAAATAGGAGAGATAGTTGATAAATGGGATCACATTCAAGTTCAAAAGCTTCTGCACAGCGAAGGATATAGTTACTAAGCTAAAAGGACAGCCTATAGAATGACAGCAAATCTTCGGAAGCTGTATATCTGAAGGATCTAGTAGCCAAAATATACATGGAGCTTAAAAGCTACCCTCCCCAAATAACCAGTTGAACTCAATAAATGGGCAAAGGAGCTAAACAGATACTTCTCAGAAGATGATGTACAGATGGCCAATAAACACATGAAGAAGTACTCCATATTCCTGGCCATAGGGAAAATGCAAATCAAAAGAGTTATTCAAATTCCATATCACTCCAGCTGGAATGGCCATCATCAAGAATGTCAACACAAGAAATGCTGGTGAGGACGCCACCCCTGGCAACCTTAAGACATGAACCTTAACATGTTGGTAGCGGAATGTATGTTAATGCGACCACTATGGAAATCTATATAGATATTCCTCAAAAACTATTCTTTGATCCAGAGAAAACATTCTTGGGCATTGATCCAAAAGAAATTTTAATCCTGTTGTAAAATAGGATAGAATAAGGCAATTGTATATTCATGTTCATTGAAATTCTATTCATCATAGGTAAATTATGGAAACAGCCCAGGTACCCTACAACTACACAGGAATATCCATCAGGAATAATCATATCATTTTCAGGAAAATAGATGAATCTGGAAAAAATTATGGTGAGTAAAATAAGTAAGCCTCAGAGAGACAACAGGTGTGTGATTTCTCTTGTATGTGGAAGTTAGACCTAAAATATAATCATATATATACACATATATAGGACCATATGCTTATATATATGATCAAACTAAATTATGCTATACACGTAAGTGGATTTACATAGTGTAGCCCCTTTGTACAATTAACAGATGATGAGTTCTAGGAAGATGAAACACATCTGGGTTGGGTAGGGCTTTAAGTGGGGAGCAGAGGAATGAAGAGAGGAATAGGGTACAGTCACAATATTCAAGGTAAATACATGAAAATAGAACCAAGACATTGAAGGAGAAGGGCTGGATTGGGATAGATGGGAGAAGTAAATGAGGAGAGAGTAATGCTCATCAAGAAGCAGTGGTGTACATAAACTGACTTGTTGAATTAAAACCCTTTTGTACCAGTATTTAAAGACATTAGGTTTTTTAAAGCCTTTTTCTATAATCTTTAATTACATCTGGATGAATTCCTAAAATGTATTTATGTTGACTACAACAATAAAGTGGGATGAAGTCAAATGTGTATATAAATATATGTAAATATATATAAACTTTTACAAGTACATATGTAATTCATAAATGACAATAAATAAGATGAAAGTTAGCGTCAGGATCCAAACCTTGCTTTTCTCTTAAGAATGTTGGTGGGGAGAGGATGGGAAGGAATGGGAAGGGGAAACAAAGGAGGAGGCTACAATGCTTGATAAGAAATGTACTCATTGGGGCTGGGAAGGTAGCTCAGTGGTAGAACGCTTGCCTTGCATGCCTGAGGCCCTGGGTTCGATTCCTCAGCACCACATAAGCAAAAAGAAAAAAGCCGGAAGTGGCGCTGTGGCTCAAGTTGTAGAGCGCTAGCCTTGAGCTGAAGAGCTGAGGGACAGCGCCCAGGCCCAGAGTTCAGGCCCCACGACCAGACCCCTCCCTCCCGCAAAAAAAGAAATGTATTCATTATCTTGCCCATGTAATTGTAATCCCTCTGTACAGTATTTTCACAATAAAAAATAAAAAACAGTGCTGGTTTCATGAATACTTATCATATTATTTACAATGACTCATTAGTTAAATAATCGAGTGATAAGTAGACAAGTGGTGACAGTCATAACCAAGGGTTATGGAAAACTAATTTAAATATAATTATATTACCAAAATTATAAAAGCATAACTAGTAGAGTGTTTTATTCTATTCCTATGGTATAGCATTACAATCTACATAGAAAGCATTCTTAACAGCCAATAAAGCATTGTATATTTGAAATGGTGAAAAATTCTTACTTGATTTTTTGTTTGTATACTTCTTCAAATGTTTGCTTCTGTTATGAGCACTTGGCTGTGGTTTTGTGTTTGATCCTTGTAGCCAGCTAATATCAGTTTTACCATCATCACATGTGTGCTCTGTTTCAGTATCACTAAAGAGATTCTTCTTTACATGACTTGATATCATCTATTTGAAAAGACAAAAATGCTTTATTTGAAGAAATATGTCCTACTGTATCACATGCAAAATAGATTAAGCTATCCCCAACAAGTCAAAGTTTAAAAAGCATGAAAACTACTCCCTCTCTCTCCTCCCCCTGCTGAGGATTAAAGACAGGGCCTTGTAGATGCTGCAAAATCACTCTCCCACTGAGCTATATCTCTACCCTTCACATCTCATTTCTTAGCGTACTTTTCTACATGGTATTAATGACTTATCCAAGAAAGTCACTGAGATATATATAGGCACATATGTGAGATTTGTATTTCAGTGTTAGTCTTGTTAATTCGCAGTTAACAGCTTGGTTCTAAAAATATAGCCTAAAACAGTCAAAATAAGAAGTAACACTGTCAATTTTTCTATTACTAAATTATAACAAATATTTCAAAGATGCTAGGAAAAGTCATAATGGAAACATGGATAAACTCAGAGTGAAAAAGCAAAACATTTTGTTCTCAAGTTCTTCAGAAATTAAAATGTTACTAATAGAAATATTGTTATGACTTACTCTTTTATCTTTTGTTCTGAGAGAAGTTTCAAGTTCATCAGGATTCCTTAAATCAGTCCTTAAGCAAAAATACATATGAATTTTAGAATACCTGTCATGTTACTGTCTCAAGACACCCTCCACTAGACAGTGAAGTAAGAGTTTTCAGTCTCAAATTCTTTCAATAATTACTTATATAATCTTTAAATTTCAGTTAATTTTAAAATAAAGAGGTTGTATTTAAAGAACTAAATCACTTTAGCTTTATAGGATACATGATATTCAAATTACTGAGAATTTGCACATTAAATTTAAAAGTAAAGGCTAAAGTAACAATCACAATGGGACTAATCATGACAGCATTTTTTTTTTCTGGTCATGGGGCTTGAACTCTAGGCCTGGGTGCTGTCCCTCAGCTCTTCAGCTCAAGGCTATTGCCCTATCACTTGAGCCATAGCGCCACTTCTGGTTTTCTGGTGGTTAATTGTAGATAAGAGTCTCATGGACTTTCTTGCCTGGGCTGGCTTTAAACAGTGATTCTCAGATCTCAGCCTCCTGAGTAACTTAGGATTTACAGGCATGAGCCACCAGTGCCCAGCTCACAACAACATTTTATTTACTCTTCTCATGTTAAAAATTCTCAGAAAGACAGGCCTAAGGGGAGATGAAGCTAAATTTTAATCTGAACTAATTATAATGAAAACACCTACAGTTTTATTGAATTATCCTTGGAGGTCTCTTTAGTTGCGGCTTGAAATTCTTGAATCTATGTAGTAAATCAACATTTGAAAAGAAAAAAAAAGACATCTTACTGCACAAAGTAAATGAAAACCATGGAAATAAGTACCCAGTACCTAGTTTCTATTGATAGAATCATAAAATTTAAAAATAAAACTAAACTGGCTGTAGTTTTTTTTACTTAAGAAGAAAGCTAATACAATAAATTATATGAAAAACAGAACAAATAAGAATGTTTTAAATTTGTCCTATTATAGAAAAAGTGATTTTTGTGATAAAGTAAATCCTTCTACCCTTAGTTACCAAAGATTTGGAGAAAAAAATGAAACAATTACAACAAAACTAGGTACACCTAGACTAGTTACCCTATTGATTACTTACTTTTGAAAATTTGAAGTATATCTATAAGATGTACATCAAAAACATTCTCATAACTACACAGTAAATGCAAAATAACCACTAAAGAGTGAAATTTAAAAACCATTGGCTGCAAGCTTACTCCAAGTTTTATAACAGGTTCCTCAGCTCCACTCAAATTAAAATTGTAAACATCGTCCCTGTGAAAATGAGAACAAATATTAGCTCAGTTGTAGTAAGTATATACTTCAAATGTGAAGAAATGAAAATAGTTATAAAAATTATTACTTACAATGGGCCTTCAGAAGTAACATTAACAAAAGTAGTCTTCAATTTTCGGTAACTTTTTTTCTGAACCTTTTCCAAAATATCAAAGAATAGTTTGCATAAACAATTTAAGCTGATAGATTACTATATGTGGCAAACAAATCACGTGCAGTTAAATTTCCAAATATTTTTCAGTATGCTTACACTAATGTTAATCTAGCATGTGTAATATTTTCTTTAGGTAGATTAAATAAAAATATACTCTTAAAGAAATGAAATCACTGCCTTATAAAGATATCTATACTCTCATGTTCATTGTAACATTCGAAAACAAGTGTCTGTTGACAGATAGGTAAGAAAACTGTGGTACATACAACACATACATACAGGAATATTTTCTAGTTTTATAAACAGAAGACCATAGCTGGGTGCCTATGTTTCATGTCTGTCATCCTAGCTACTCAGAAGATTGAGATCTGAGGATAGAAGTTTGAAGCCAGCCCAGGCAGGCAAGTCTATGAGACTCTTAACTCCAATGAACCACCAGAAAACCAGAAATGGCGCTGTGACTCGAAGTGGTAGAATGCTAGCCCTTAAGCTTAGGGACAGTGCCCAGGCCCTGAGTTCAGGCCCCACGATCAAACAAACAAAAAGCCAAAAGGCCCTTTGTGATAATATGGATAAACCTCAAGGACGTTATGCCTAAATGAACATGACAGAAAAGGGAAAACATTGCGTGATCTTGCTTATTTGTAGAATCTGCAAGAAAATGTCACATAGAAGTAGAAGGTAAAATTGTGATTTCCAGAGTGGGATCAGGAGAAGGAAACAGGGAGAGGCTGGTTGAAGAATACCAAGTTGCAGATATAGAAGATGAATAAAGTCCAGAAATCTGTTTAAAATGTATTATATATAGGATATTTTCTAGGAGAATAGATTTTAGATGCTCTTGCCCTTTTCCACTAAAGGGGTAATTAAGTGAAATGATGGTTGTTTGAATATAGTAACCATATAATTCACCATGCAATACCATGTATAAGCCTTAAAATATATAAATAGTAAGCATCTTCAGTTTTAAATTTATTGAAGACTTAAATACATGTACTAACAAAATAAAATAGAAGGTATTGCAAACTTAATATAAAATATTTAAATCCTTAAAATTTGCCAACATAGCTGTATATAATGTTCTTACTAGTTCTCTATCTACTAAATTTTAGTGTCTCTAGAGTTATAAAACTAGTACATTTTTACTTTGTTTCAGAAATTTCATTTGCTTTAGTCTCAAATATAAAACTTTGAAATAACTTCAGGTTTACATAAAATCTCATGTAAAAGAGTAAAAAAATCAACTAGAATTACTAGGGGAAATATGTATAAAATTATTCAATTAAGTCACTTCGTGAGAGTAAAAGTCAAATAAAATTTAACAAATTAATTATTATTAAAGAAACGGTTATGATATATAAATATTTTGAAAGGCAAAAAAAATAAAATTTTTTAATAATGCCATGGAATAATGGATCAATAATCAGAAATAATCAAAGGCCTATTTAGTATCCAGTAATTCAGAAACATTTTTAAAAAATGTTCATTTCAATGTGTGATTCTCTTTCAAGTTTATTTTTGGCTATTTTATATAGAATTACTTTAATTATTCCAAAAAGTTTATCACACTATAGAATCCCTTCTCTGATCACTATCTGACTATCCTTTCCAGTGTTATTTCTGTTGTTACTGTTGGTAGTGATAGTACTGCAGCTGGAACCCAGGGCTATGTTACATATTATATGTAACATATATATGTAAATATAATATATATCAGGCTGGATCTGAACTCAATATCCTCCTGCCTCAGCCTCCCAAGTATTGGGATTATAGCTATAAGCCACCACAGTGGGCTACCAGTATAATTTTAGCCTGAAGAAAACATGTTGAGGAAACCAATATTACGTTAACAATCTAGTCTTTTAAAGGGAATAGTGAGCCATTATATATAGAGAGATATATAGATATGTCTCTATATATCTGATTAACTCACAAAGTACAGGGAACAAAGCACATTTCAGAAAAATAGCATTACCTGATTAAAGCTGTGTGTGTGTGTGTGTGTGTGTGTGTGTGTGTAATTTATTAAAGAAAACAAGGTAGAATTAAATGTAATGAAAGGACTGGCATACAGACATACTATAGTTAAGCAGAATTTCATAAAGTCCATTGTAACAATCTAGGAATCAGACATTAGAACTGAAACTAATAGGAGTTGGCATAGACAAGAGAGAAGACAAAGAGGAATTTATAGAGGGTGAACTTCAAAACTTGATGAATTTAGTGGACACAAAAAATATTAAGAAATAAATAAAAGAAATTTTTGCCGGGTGCTGGTGGCTCACGCCTGTAATCTTAGCTACTCAGGAGGCTGAGATCTGAGGATTGTGGTTCAAAGCCAACCCAGGCCGGAAAGACTGTGAGACTCCTATCTCCAATAAACCACCAGAAAACTGGAAGTGGCGCTGTAGCTCAAGTGGTAGAGCACTCGCCTTGAGCTGAAGAGCTGAGGGACAGCGCCCAAGCCTAGAGTTCAAGCCCCATGACTGACCAAAACATTAAAAAAATAAAAGAAAATTTTCCAGATGCTGGTGGCATATATCTGTAATTCTAGCTACTTAGGAAGCTGAGATCTGACAATTACTGTTCAAAGCCAGCCCAAGCAAGAAAGTCCATGAGACTCTTATCTCCAATTAACCACTCAAAAACCAGATGTGACACTGTGGCTCAAAGTGTCAGAGAGCTAGTCTTGAGCAAAAGATCTCAGAGACAGAGCACAAGCCCCAAGTTCAAGCAGAGGAGACAGGAGACAGGAGAGGAGAGGAGAAGACAGGAAAGAGGAGAGAGGAGAGAGGAGGGAAGAGAAAGAAAGAGAGAGGGGGAGAAAGAGGGAGGAGAGGAAGAGAGAAGAGAGAGGGGAGAGAGAAAGGGGAGAAAGAGAGGGAGGAAAGAGAGAGGAGAGGGGGGAGAGGGAGGAGGAGAGGGAGAGGATTGGTATTTAAATTTGGGTGAGTAGTAAATTTTTTGTTTTAAACAAAATTAGTATTCAGAAAAATCCAACTGTTAGGACAGATGGATTCACTTAGCAAAACTATGGTGATAAATACTGAATCATTAATAAAAAGTGAAAATATTAGGCTCATCTTTATATATAGCATGTTCTTTCAAAAATAGAACTTAGAAAGTTAATGGGCTGTTTGGAGTACTTGCCACTACACTTGTCTGTTGTGATAAGCTATTAGCCATGTTCCAAAAACATTAAATAAAATTCCATTTTACTACCATTTTAGTGTCTGTGATAAAAAAATCAAGTATGATTATAGGCTTAATGAAATTAACTAAATACATACCTTATTAATACATACCTTATTAAGTTGTAGATCAGATTTGTTTGAAATCCGACTATAAAAAAGATTGACAATAAAAACCAATTATCAGAATATTTTTCATAAAAGCCATTTTACATAGGTAAAACATACTAAATCTATATTCTATATGCTATAAAATGTGCAACCAAAAGGTGAAATCCATGGTCAGTCTGATATTTTTACAACTTCACTAGTGAATCATTAATGCACTGAGAAGTGCCAAACAATTTTAGACTTGGGGTTCTTCCATGAGTCATTTTCCTTATACAATAAGTTCAGAATAAATTTACACTTGAATTAACAACCAGATAGACTATAGACATTTTATAAGAAGAGTTAACTTTCAGAAGGCTTGCAAGTAAGGAATATGTAATTTCAAACATTAAAATAATTTTCATTGGGGCTGGGAAGGTGGCTCAGTGGTAGAGTGCTTGCCTTGCAAGCTTGAGGCCCTGGGTTCGATTCCTCAGTACCACATAAGCAAAAAGAAAAAATGTCAGAAGTGGCGATGTGGCTCAAGTGGTAGAGTGCTAGCCTTGAGCTGAAGAGCTGAGGGACAGCGCCCAGGCCCAGAGTTCAGGCCCCACGACCAGACCCCCCCAAAAAAATTTCATTGATACTTTACATCTCATTATGAAATATATTTAAGTATTTTTAGTTTTAGTATTACAAGTTATGATAAATACAGCCCAAAGATGTCTATATCCTAAAGATTTGTCTGCAACAGTGTGTTGTATTTTTATTTTTTCTCGCTATTCTTGTTTTGATACAGGGCCTCACATTAGCTCAGACTATATTGTACTCTTCTTGCTGTAACCTCCCAAGTGCTGGGATTATATAGGTATGTGTTACTATATTCGGTTGATATGATATGGGGTTTTATTTTTGACATGTTTTAAAATGTAACTAGATGCTAGACTGCCATATTTCAAATTTAATTCTCTAAAGGTAATTAGCCACTATGTTTTCTAGTGAAAATTTACATTATTTGAATGTATATTTAAAACTAACCTTTTCTAAACTGTGTAACTGAATCATATCTGCTAGAAAAATATTCATTTGTGAAATTTATGAACATACCTGTCAATCAAAGAGTCCTTTAATTTTCGTGTAGACTTTGCATCATCTGTTGGTTTGTATCTCTTATTAATTTGAGTTATCAAAGATTCTGCTGCCTCAGTAAATCCTTTCTCTTTTGACTGTTCTCTCTGAAATAAGTCATTAATTACCTTAAAACTCTTCCATCTATCTTCCAAAGGAACATAAAGGATAAAAGGGAAATAAAGAAAAATCTAGTTCTGTTACAATTTTACAAAGAGAAATATGGGGTCAGAAATAATAAGTTTGAATTTTATAATGCATTAAAAACCACAGATATGTCTTTAAGCATGGATCTGTGCAGAATACTCTGTAGAAATCTTTTTAAAGTTAGTATACATGAGAATAAAATACTTAAGGGGAAAAAGTAGCCAGATGAATGCAATTGATAAACCTGTAACCAAGTTACTGGAGGAAGAATACCAAAAAAGATTCCAGACAGAAATTGCTAATGCCTGTAATGAAGTGATAATACTATTAATATTTTATTATCAAGTATTACTATTATTAATTGAATGAATTATATGTCTACAAATTTAATAATCTGCATGAAATAGATTTGTTTTTAAATTTGTTTAATTTTTACTGAAAAGGTGATGAGTAGGGGTTTACAGTTACATAAGTAAGGCAATAAGTTCATGTGTTTTTAATCATTGTTACCCCATCCCTCATTATCTCCCACTTACTCTCCCTATTTCCCTACCCCCCAAATTGTAATGTTCATATCCAACATAGTTAGACCAATTTCTTGAAGGATACAATTTACTGAAACTTTGGCAAAGAAAAATAGATCATCTAAATATACACATACACACATAAATATGAAAAGTTAATTGATGCAATTTAATATATATGTTATACAAAACAAACACCAGGTCCTGATGGATTCACTGGTGGATTTAGTCAAAATTTAATGAAGAAATTATGCCAACTCTCTACAAACTTCTAGATTCTTTTAAGGTGCTTGCTTTAAGAGGATAGAAGCATGAAGTCATCATCAGTGGTTTAGGTTAGTCCAATGATGAAGTTACCACTTCTGTAATCTAAGGATCTCCTGATGACTAGATGACTGATGGCTAGATTCAATGCAATCTTTTGGAGGATACTTCATACACAAACCATAAAAGATATTTAACCAGAATTCTGTGTTTTCAGAATCTGCTAAATGATTCTTCTGCAAAAATAAATGTTTTTACTATTAGTAGGATACAGAAAAAATAGACCAAAGAACCACATATTAAAAAGAAAGACAAAATTTCTGAGAGATGAACATCTTGATATGCTTCTTTAAAAAGACAGAAAGAAGCCAAGCACCAGTGGCTCACACCAATAATCCTAGCTACTCAGGAGGCTGAGATCTGAGGATGGAGGTTCAAAGCCAGCCTGGGCAGGAAACTCCATGAGACTCTTTTCTTCAATAAACTACTCAAAAAATCTGGAAGTGGCACTCTTGCTCAAGTGGTAGACTGCTTGCCTTGAGCAAAAGAAGAGATAGTGCCCAGACCTAGAGTTCAAGCCCCAGGACCAGCAAAAAAAAAAAAGACAGACAAACACAAAAAGAAGAAATAGGGTCCATTTATTCATATTTATTCTATACCTATTTTTCATTTATTTTATTTATTCTATACCTATTCATTTATTCTATACCTATTTATTTATTCATTTATCCTATACCTATTTTCAGGCTTGATATATGTGAAGTACTGTTCTATCAGTGAAGAAATTACGGAGAATTGAATGAGGAGTTTAAGGGGGAACTCACACCTGGTCTCCAGGCAATTAACTACATTAAATCTGCAACAATCATTTTCCATTTTCTTATAATATAGGTATCTTATGGATATGTAGAAATCAAACCATAATGAGAACTCACCATTGTTTTTTGTTTCAAATCCCAGGAATTAAGATCAGAAGATGATTCTGTGCCTGATTTTATATGACTGTTTGGCCTTTTTCTAGGAGAACTTTTATTACAAACATCAGTATTCACGTCTTTTGATAAGATGTACTTCTTCCTATAGATCAGAGATTCTTCAGTTGTCTTGTTTAGAAGAACTGACTTAAAAGTAGTTTCAGATTCAATATGCCAATCACTCTGAGTAGCATTTTCAGTATCTTTCTGGTCTGAATATTTAGGATAATTTTGTTGCTGATTGTTTCTTTTGCAAACTACTGCTTTGTCTGTTTTGTCAGGTTCCTCTATTACTTTCCTGTATTTCGTCTCCACTGTTTCTTCAGAATCATCATCAGAGATAGATGAAGGTGATTTTTGTTTAGAATAGTTTTTGTGAACACAAACATCTAATGGGATAATGAGAAATTAATTCTTACAAAATGAGTAAATTAATATCTAAAAATATTTAAATAAATAAAATTAAAATTTAACTATTTATTAGACTTTGAGGAAATTATTTCCTGAACTACTATTGAATACAGATAAAACTCTCTCACCTTGATTAAATGTGTCTCTTGATAAAGTACTGGTTCTGTTGCTTTTACATAGTTTAATGGTTGTTACAGGTGTCCAACATGCCCATTTAGATTGAATTTTGTTCCCGCACATGTTTTCTAAAGCACTAGAAAATAAGTTCATTTGCTTAATTCTATAAAACATCAGTATATGCCTCTTAAGATCTTGTTATACTTTTATTTAACCAATGTTTACTATAAACAATTTGTTAGTGGTAAAGTATGGAAATTTTTCATGTTATGACAAATTTAAATTTATTATATAATTGATCAGATTTCAAAGTATATTAGTGCTACTACTTTGATACTACCTAAATATCGCTTATTATACTATGAATTTTTAAAAAGTTAAAATTTTCACGTTTATACTTGAATTTTTAAAAATCTTGTTCTTTTTAAGTTCCTCAAATTGAAAAAACTATGTTGGATGACATAGAGAAAACACAGACTATTTCTGTACTATCATAGTAATTCTTGAGAGATGTATAAAAGCCCTTTCTGTCAAATGTGTTCTATCTAATATTATCTACCTAAAATAACATTACTATCTACTAAATCATTTTATGTACTTTTTCATACTTACATAGGCTTATCTGTTTTTTCCACTGTCTGTGAATCAGAAAGGGTATCATGGAGTTCATCTAAATAAAACAAAAATCACAGAATTTTCATTTTTTTCATGCAACTGGAAGGTAAAATGGGGTTATTATAACTGTATTGGGATAAAGAGATTGATTTATTTTAATTCCTCTCTCTCAAACTTATTAGGAGCTATGGTTATATGCTATTTCCTTATAATCTCAAAAATGTCCTTGTTTAAAGCTAAACACATTTGTTATAAATCTCTGGCATCAGTGAAAGTCAGTGAGCAAAAGGTATTACTGAGAGTTTTCTTTCTCCTGGTTTCTCCCAACTCCTTATCTTTTTTAATTGACTAAAAAATACTTACTTGGGTTTTGATTTGGGAATTCAATGTCCTCATTTTCTGTCCTTTCTACGATGTTAGCAGTTTTGATATGCTATAACATAGAAAACAGGTTCAATGTAGAGTTAGATTAAGTGTTATATTCAAACAGCTTTTAAAGAAGTGTTAAGGGTTGAAAAATGAGTATGCCTTCTATAAAAGTCAGATAGTGTCATATCAGACAGTGTTATATCTACTCTAGAACTCTGCCTATAACAAAATACAGGGAAATAAATTTAATTGCACACAAGGAGGCAGAAGGTTCTAAAATTTTCTAATTTCATCCTTAGCCAGAATAATCATTCAATTTTTATCAATTATAATTTCTAGAACCTCTATGGCACATTTCCTATCACTACTGATTTCCTAGCCTACATCTCTATACTATCATCACCGAAGTACACAGAAAAGCTAGAAATTAGGAGTATTGCTTTAAAGCATTTGGCCATTTCCCTGATAACTTTTTGTCTGCATCAAGTACCCTTGTCCCATAGCCACAGACTCATACTTATCTCAGATCAAATAAAAATTTCCATCACTTTCATAAAAAATGCTGCCTAGCTCAAAAAAATTTACTTTGTTATATCTGTCTTTTTTCTTAGTCTAGCAGATAGATCCCTATATTGTGATGGGAGCAGCTATAAAAATATGCAGGCTTTCACAGTGACAAACAGTTCTTCTGACACATGTAGAACAGTCCTAGGCAGAATGTCAATTATCTTACAATAGTCAGGACCATGCCACAAAACTGAAAAATAGTATTCTTATTAAGAAACGCTTAACTAGAAGAATCAAACTATTACTTTAACTGTTTTTTCCAATATCTTCACTTCTTATATCCTTTATTTTTTGCATATACCCATTTTATTTTTTTAAATTCTTTACTTTGCTCTTTAGTTTTAACTGTAACATCAAGACTACTGGGCATATATTTATGGACTAACGACATGATTAAACTGCCTTAAATTTATTTGGGCCCTCTATGTTGTCTAACACTTTACTTATTTTTAGATCTCTCTTTGGTCAATATCTATTCCAAATTACTTATTTGTCCATTGCCCCCTTCATCAATAGATTCTCAGGAGAAATTTACCATCTTCATCCAACTGGGGAACAAATACTGGATGTTTCACACCTACAACATTAGTTTATTTTTCTAAGAAACCATTTCCCTTATCCATTCCCTTTGATATCCCTTCAACTACCTGGAACAAATGTCCTTTTCCTCATTATCCATTTGACTAATCTTTTGGTCCTTCAAATCTCAATTCACTGTCCCTATCTCCCTAAAAGGCCACTGGTTCATTTTGACCATCCTGTGGGTTAGGTACCTGCCTCTTCCATATGATACATTAACTAGTGCATATGTGTGTATATGTGTGTATACACACACAAATATATATGATGCTATATGTAGTGATATAATTACCTCAAAATTCTGTCTAATCCTTACACTAGGATTTTGATATACTTAAAGGAAAATACCATTGAATATCACATTTCTGTATTTACCATGCCTTTTTCATAACAGATATATTTTTTTACTTTGTCTTTCCTATCTTTCCTTCTTAATCTGGCAGATAGTTCCCTATATTGGGATGGGATCAGCTATTAATATATGCAGGTTTTACAATGACAAAGAAAAAATACATAATAAACTAAAATATAAAGAATGTGGCTCATGCCTATATTTCTGGCTACTCAGGAGGGTGAGATCTAAGGATCATGGTTTGAAGCCAACCCAGGCAGATAAGTTTGTGAGAGTCTTCTCTCCAATTAAATCACAGAAAAACCTAAAAGTGGCACTGTGGCTCAAGTGCTAGCCTTGAGGTAAAGGAGCTCAGGGACAGTGACCAGGCTCAAAGTTCAAGATCCAGGGCTGGCAAAAATATAAATAAAGACGGGAAGTCCATTTCTCCTGTCAAATGTGTAAATTAGCTCTAGTGAACAGATGTTAATGTCATTGAGTTTTATTGTAAGCACTGCTTTCAAGGACAATAATGATATACAGAAAAAATCTAATTTTGTAAACTAAGCAAGTATTTGAAAGTACAATTAGCTCAATATACATTGTAATACTATAACAACATGTTAAAACTTTATTTTAACAATACTTTCAAAGTATACTTACTTTTTCTCTATTTTTTCTTCTACATCTTCTTTCAGATGTTCTAGATTCAAGTAATAAAGCATCATCCAATCCATTTTTGGATGTATTAGGAACATTAACTTTTTCTGAGAAACTTAGCCTTGGCAGCAGTGGTGGCTTACTTCTTCTTCTTCGTGGTGTTACTAAAAGGAGGACAAAAGACAGGTAAATCTGTTTTTTATTTCTGTTACTGAGGTACTTTCAGGATGAGAAAGCTAATTCAGATAAGAGGAGTAAGAAAGGAAGGCTTAGGACGATATGCAGCTTTATTGGCTAGATGAATAAGTGAAAACAATGCCATAGGGTAAGTAGACTGACTCAGTTTCAGACCCTGTTATGCACTAAGCAATTGCCTATTAGGCAATGAGTTTCTGAATAAAAGTTCTATATTAAATTGGCATTAACACTAAGGATTTAAAGAAAGTAGCAGACAATATATTTTTTAACCTGAACTCGTAATATGTGCCAAACTTTTAGTATAATAGTAAATTCTTGGTATTAGGTAAGGTCTAAACATTTCACAAGATTTTTTTGTTAAACATATTTTTTATTTCATGCTTTAAACAAATTAATGAAATAAGAATGTAAGTCCCATGTTATAATAAGACACTGGTTCTAAATTTAGCTAGAGGATAATCTGTGCAAAGTACAAAAATTGGAGTCAGGAATTAGTACGTACAAGAAAACTATTGATTCAATGTTATTTTTAAGCACTATATTATGCTACATCCTGTATGAATTATGACAAATCATTAATACATGGCAGCAATATTTTAAAAACTGTTTATCAATGCCCATTATATCTTTCAGAAATTTGTAATGGGAAAATGATCAACTTTCTTATCTTGAATCTATCCTCTAGGTAAATTATATCCATAATTTTTCTGATTTAAAAAATATATTTAAAATACAATACTTGTTTTAAAATCTTTAAAGATTATTAAACTTACTTGCATTGACTAATAGTACTGGACTTCTCACAGTGTATCTGTCTGTACCGGCAACAATCATTGATGCTTCAGACATTTTCCTTTTGCTAGGAGTAGTTATCTTAAGCCATGAGAAACAACCATAGTAAACATACATTCTCTATTAAAGTTAAATATTTTACAATTTCACTCATAACAATTTGCAATGACTATATACATTTTGCCTTGACTACATTAAAAAAACAATATGCAGAAATTTCTGTGTCCAAGGCTAATTTGTAGGTTTTTATGTTCATGTTTGGCAATAAATAAAGTAACTAAAACAAGTACACATTGTCTTAAAGAAAGTGTGCTGGTGCACAATTTCAGGAAAAGGCCTATAAAGATAAGAAACACGAGAATATCTTAGAACAGAAAGTAGCAATTTGGCTATAGAACACTGAAGTCTGCAGTCTAAGAGCTCAAATTATGTACATTAGAGAAGCTCTGCAAGCCGGGCGCCAGTGGCTCACGCCTATAACCCCAGCTACTCAGGAGGCTGAAATCTCAGAATCATGGTTCAAAGCCAGCTGAGGCAGGAAAGTCTGTGACACTCTTATCTCCAATAAACCACTAGAAAACTGGAAGTGGTGCTGTGGCTCAAGCAGTAGAGTGCTCGCCTTGAGCTGAAGAGCTGAGGGATAGTGCCCAAGACCAGAGTTCAAGCCCCACAACTGACAAAAAAACAAACAAACAAAAAAGCTCTGCAAGAAGAAGGTATCAGGATGTTCAGAAGGTGGAGTCTCTCAGGATTTAGAGAAAACCTACATAACTGATGAGCAGAGAGACTACCTTTGATCTAGTATGAGAAGTAGAATGCCAAAACAAGCTGAAAAAGGAGAGGACCTTAAGAAACCAAGGTATGGAAAAGAAGGCTAAGAAATGCTTCTACTGGATGCAGTCTACAAGTGGTCTTCACTTGAAGAAGAAGAAACAGAGCCTAACACTTGGCTTGCTTTCCTTGCTTTACAAAAAACAGAACCCTGGGGCTGGCAAGGGGCTCAGTGGTAGAGCGCTTGCCGTTCCTCAGCGCCACATAAGCAGAAAAAGCCAGAAGTGGTGCTGTGGCTCGTGTGGTAGAGCGCTAGCCTTGAGCTGAAGAGCTGAGGCGCAGCACCCAGACCCACAGTTCAGGCCCCACAACTAACAAAAAAACAAAACAAAAACAAAAACCTAGAACATTGTAAATTTTTTATTGTATATTATAATCAAAGTAAAGATACACTAAAATAAATGGGGGAAAATAGTAATATATTCTGTGTATCTCAATTTGGAATTCATAAATGTAAACTGTAGAATATACCTTATCCTAAAGTATGCACATGCATGTATTATGATTGTTCAAAACCATTAATATATACATTCTAGTTGCTTTTTTTTGTATCTCTAGCAATGACATGTTCTATGGTAGTTTCATAAGCAATTATTTTGATCATATTTACCTCGCCCTGATTACTTATGCTGTCCTCTTGGCTGCTATTTTTGGTGCATTTTAGAGGGTTAACAGATTCCTTTGGGGAGTTAAATTTTTCTTTTAAACTAACAGGTTCTTCTTCAATTGGTGAGACCTGACTTTCTGGAACCAGCATCTGTTAGAAAATTTAGAAACCCTATATTAAAACTGTAAACCACAGGAAAATCTTTAAAACCATTGTATATCTTAGTAAAGCTCTTATTTCATACTTACAAATCTCAGTTCCTTCTTTCTTCTATCCCTGTACTAATTGTTTTTTGGGGTTTTTTTGTTTTTTTGGGGGGGTCCGGTCGTGGGGCCTGAACTCTGGGCCTGAGCGCTGTCCCTCAGCTCTTCAGCTCAAGGCTAGTGCTCTACCACCTGAGCCACAGCGCCACTTCCGGCTTTTTTCTTTTTGCTTATGTGGTGCTGAGGAATCGAACCCAGGGCCTCAGGCATGCAAGGCAAGTGCTCTACCACTGAGCCAACTTCCCAGCCCTCCCTGTACTAATTGTTAAAAGTCAACTCAAAACAAGTATTCAATTTGTAGACAGTTTTGTCACAGTGGAAGGACACATACTTCTCATTTTTTTCTGCTTATGTGGCACTCAGGAATTGAACCCAGGGCTTCATGCATGCTAGGCAAGCACTCTAACATTCCTAGGCACTTCTAAGTTTTTGTGTGTGTGCTGGTCCTGGGGCTTGAACTCAGGGTCTGGAAGCTCTCTGGTCTTTTTTGCTCAAAGCTAGCACTCTGCCACTTGAGCAAGCTCCATTTTTAGCTTTTTGGTGGTTAACTGAAAGTAAGAGTCTCACAGACCTACCTGCCTGCGTTAGTTTCTATTAATGATCCTCAGATCTCAGCCTCCTAGTAGCTTGGATTATAGGTGTAAGCCATTGACACCCAGCTTTTACTTCTAAATTTTAAAGTTACCAACATTGTTATTTATCAATAACTGTGGTTAAATTATCATTAACTAATATATGTATTTTATTACAGTATCATCTATATCAAGACTACCTGTTTAATTCGCTATTCAATACCAACTTTATTATTATGATACTGTTTAATGTTAAGCCTAAACCCAATAATAAAAATCAGTAAGAAACATACCTGGGATCCACTTGCATCAAAAAGAATATGCACAGATGTTTTGGCAACTGAAATACCATGCTTCTTGGTAAATTCCTAAAATTCAATTAATTGAAAGTGGTATGATTTTCCTTTTCTTTCCATTCAGTGCAATTATTTTTCTACCTATCTTCCTCAGAATTGCCAAGTAATCATTAATTGTTACTTTTCGGATACAAATACCCTATTTCAGAACCCTTCCTTTACTTTCTACCAACCACAGCCTCCTAAGCTTTCCATTTTGTTCCTTGAACAAAGGTTCCTCCCAAATATATCTACTGAAGCTTGTCAAAAGAACATCACCCCAAAACACCCCATAAGTTGTCAACTGATCATTCCAGTTAAATAATAATCATCTTATAATCTTGTCAAGCATCTCATCTAAATCCTATTCTTCAACTCAATGGGCCATTTCAAGCCACCTCCACAATAGTGCCTTACTTTTAATCCTAAGTCTTAATGAATATTTTATTTCTGTAACTCTTTTTCCTTAAAGTTATTTGCTTCTGAGACATCATTTCTGTAAAATAGTTATTTATCTCATCTTACTTTTTTTTTTTTTTTTTTTGCTAGTTCTGAGGTTTGAACTCTGGGCCTGGGCACTGTCCCTGAGCTCCTTTTGCTCAAGACTAGCACTCTGTCACTTGAGCCACAGTACCACTTCCAGCATTTTCTGTGATTTAATTGGAAAGAAGAGTCTCACAGACTTTTCTGCCTTGGCTGGCTTCGAACCATAATCCTCAGATGTCACCCTTCTGAGTAGTTAAGATTACAGGCATGAGCCATCGGTGCCCAGCTTCATCTTACTTTTTAAACACTTGTCTGGAATTCTTCAAATATTCTAAACAGTGGCTTCTAATTCTGTCAATTCAGATACTTTCTAGTAGGCATCTCAAAGGACATGGCTAACAAGCTAATAGATATTACACAGTATAGATTTTAAAAATCTAATATAATCATGTCATTTTAAGAATTCCAAAATAGAATGATACTTAATTAAAAACAATGACACTTAACTGAGAGCCACAGACTTGGTTATCAATACTATAAAAAATAGTTAATATTTAGTTTAAAAACTTACCCTATATTTGCTTGTACCAAAAACTTTTTGAGCCACATTGGTAATTTCTAGTGATATATCAAAATACAAATACAGTTCTTTTCCTTCGGTTTGACTAATTTTTACTATATTTTTCAGAATTATAGACAGTAGCTTCTTTGAGTCTTTCACTATACACAAACAAATAATATTGATTAGTTTATACCACTTCCTATGGCATCATCCAGTTAGTATAAGTAAGAAAACTTCAGCTTATTAAAATTGAATCACAATTTTAAATTTTAGAACCAAACACTGTTTAATAAATTTTTGTACCATCTATGTAAAAATGTATGGGAGGGACAACTAGAATAAGATAAAGGATAGAAGCTGGCTTTCTGTGTCTTCTCTGGTGAAGTGGGTTCTCGTTCACCAGAGCATGCTGTTATATATGATTATCCTAACCACTTTAAATTCTTGCATAAGATGAGGTGCTGATGACTGATAATAAAGATAGTATGCTTATGTATGCAATATGCACATCCAAGTACAGTGGGCATTCTGGCTGAATTTCTAAGAGTTTTCTTCTTCATTCATCTAGCCTTTTCCTACTGGGCCTCTAATCACAATTCCAGCAAGCATTTTACAGTGATTGAGAAACTCTTAAACTTAAATGGATATTCAAAAGCTTTATATGTGAGGAGACTTATACTATTTGTAACGAATCATAAATATAAAATAATACATTTTGGTACTGACAGAAGGAATGTAAAGAGATCAAAGAAACAGATACAAGCACTAAGAATTAGACATCCTTATAGAACCTACTTATAGACTTGTTTTTTCTTGTCAGTTGTGGGGCTTGAACTCTGGCCTAGGTGCTGTCCCTAAGCTCTTCAGCTCAAGGAAAGCCCTCTACCACTTGAGCCACAGCACCACTTCCAGGTTTCTAGTGGTTTGTTCGAGATAAGAGTTTCACAGACTTTCCTGTCTAGGCTGGCTTTGAACTGCAATCCTTAGATCTCAGCCTCCTGAGTAGCTAGGATTACAGGCATGAGCCACTGGCACTTGGCTTATAGATATTTTTTTAAACACAGAAATCCAGTGGAAAAAGGAATGATATTTCAGTAAATAGTATAGGAATCAATGCCTCTCTCTCATAAAAAATAATTCTGATTCCTGCATAACATCATAACCAAATATTTATTTGTAATAGTAAGAAAAAAGGCCAAAACCACAAAGTGTTTAAAGGAAAACATTCTTGTCATTTAGGGATAGACCTCTGCAATCAACATATAATAAAAAGTTGATGATGTAAACTTCAAATTTAAAAACTTCTGTCTACCACAGATACAATTAATAAAGTGAGTAAGCATAATGTAGACTGGAAGAATATTCACCAAAGATATTTGCCAGAGTACTCTTATCCAGGATATAGGAAAACTACTAAAATCCAATAATTAAAAGGGAGATCTAATACAAAAGTATTTAAATAGATGCTTCACAAAGGGAAGATAAGTGCTGCATATTTTATATGTGTGTGCAGCACTTGTATAAAAGTGCTCAATACTGGTTATTAGGAAAATGAAAATCAAAAACTGTAATGAGAAACTACCTTATAAGCACTGAAATGTTTAACAAATTAATTTTTAACTATTCCAGTCTGCCAAATTATATGATTTTTGTCTTATTGTTATGCAAGTCCCCTCGTGGAAATGGGGAGAATAGATGTTTGGATTTAATCAAGCAAATCTGATAATAATGCAAGACTGACTAATCATGGCTTTTTTTCTTTTTAAAAAGATTTTAAGTTATTATTCAAAGGAGTCACCATTTAGCAAAGGAATTTATGAATGCAAAGCATCCTGATCAATGTCACCCCTTTTCAACATTCCCATGCATCCCTCACTTTTTTAAATTTTATGGGACACACATTGAATTCTTGACTGCATTCTCTCCCCTTCTCCTCTGCATCCCTCTACCTCTCTCTCCTTGACTCCACTCTGCCTCTTTCAAGTACCTATTTCCTGGTCTTTATTTTGTTGAACTTGACTTTGCCTTTCTAAAGAATTACACTCTTTTGACTTCTCCCTTGAATCTACCATATTTCAGCTAATACACTGTATAATCATGGCTTTTAGGTTAGCTAGGAAGGGAAAGAAATAAGTACAGGAGCATGGTGGCAGATTAAAGGGAAAATGTGAGGTAAGGAATTTCATGATTTATGAATGTGGATATCTGAAATGCTGATTTTGTTCTGACTAGTTCATTTGTTATCCCAGAGAAGATGCAGTTTCTGTTCCCTATTCCATATGGCAAGAGACAAGAAGAAAATTATAAAAAGTAAGTTTAAAGTCTAATACCTTCAATGCTGTACATTTGAACTTTTTCCTCAGGCACAGTGACTGCTTCCCATTGATGATCCTTAAATGCAAGAAAGGGCCTTGAGCATATAAGAATTTATTCCTGATTTAAAACTTCTTTGGACACCAAAGTTTAAGGTGTATGAACTGTAAAAGTAACTAACATACATACACATTCTTGTTCCAGTGATTAACTATGTTACACATGTTATATTTAATCTGTTTTGTTCACTCTTTTTTGGTGTTGGTATTCCGGCTTGAACAATGGCTTTGCATTCTTGCTTGGCTTTTTCCTGCAAGGCTGGCACTCAACCATTTTTAAGCCACACCTCTACTTCTAGCTTTTTGCTGGTAATTGGAGAGGAGAGTCTCGTGAACTTTCTTGTCTGGGCTGGTTTCTAACCACACTTAGATCTCAAGTCTCCTGAGTAGCTAAGATTACAGGCATGAGCTACCAACGCCAGGCCCTGATATATTTTAATCCAGCTTCCTACCATGAATATGCACCCCAGTGCTCAGTACAAATCTATCATATAATTAATGTCACAATAATTCAATATTTCAATAATTGAGTTACTTCTTATAATTACTCACTGGCTCCACTGACTTCTTTTCTCCTATTCTATGTGTGTAATCTACACACTAACCATACCACATATCTTTCAGTTCTTTCAGTATTACATTTATTCATTCTTTCAAAAAGTGTGACCCTTGCCAGGCGCCGGTGGCTCACGCCTGTAATCCTAGCTACTCAGGAGGCTGAGATCTGAGAATCGCAGTTCAAAGCCAGCCCGGGCAGGAAAGACCATGAGACTCCTATCTCCAATAAACCAGTAGAAAACCGGAAGTGGCACAGTAGCTCAAGTGGTAGAGCGCTGGCCTTGAGCTGAAGAGCTGAGGGACAGCGCCCAAGCCCAGAGTTCAAGCCCCATGACTGACAAAAAAAAAAAAAAGTGTGACCCTTGAATAGATATAAATAAGAAAAAGATTCCTGGTCTCATAAATATTATATTCTTTGGGATAGAAATGGACAACAAATGAAATTATTTTAAATAGTAATCACTACTATGGAGATACTAAGAAGGGCGTTGTAGGTCATTATCTACGTTGTACTACATTATACTGAATGACCACAGCATACCTGTCTTAGGAGTTAATATTTGTGTTGAAACCTAATTGGAAAGGAATTAAGGTGCAAGGATCTATCTAAAGGATGTGTTCTAGACCAACAAACTAGGAAGCAGAAAATCAGAAATGGTTATGATCTTTTTGAGAAAAGGAAATAAATAAGTCTGGAGCCCAGAGAATGGTATGAAACATCAGAGAAACAGCCAGGGAACAGGTCATATATGCTTATATGCTGTATTATATGCTGTATTACAAAAGAAAAGAAGATGGTACTATATGGAGAATAGTTTCTCAGGAGAGCAACAGAAAATACAGGAAAAACATACTATTGCTAAAGAAATTCAGAGGAAAGAAGTTCAAAATACATTTGGGGGAAGAAGCATTCAAGAAAATCTTGACCAATAAATATTTGTAACAAATATTTGGAACATAATTTATAAATCCATTTTAAACATTCCATATCATGAATACTACCATAATATGATTACTTATTTTCTGGTCTAAATCATCCATTAGAGTGTAATACAGGAACATCTCATTAGATTTAGAATCTAAGTAGGGAATGTCTGGTTTATGGGCCCTATAAGCCTCCCAAAATCATTTGCTACGTGCCAGTACAGACACCTATATTTCTTGTTGGCTGCCCTCAGACAGTATGCTTGAATTAATAATTTTGAATGATCTGAGAATGATGTTATACATAATGAAATAAAGCCAAGTAACAGTGGCTTATGGCTGCAATCCTACCTACTCAGGAGTCAGGGATCTAAATATTATGATTAGAAACCAGCCCAGGTAGGAAAGTCCATGAAAGTTTCACCCCAGTTAGCAAAAAGCCAGAAGTAGAGCTGTGATCAAGTGGTCAAGTGATCAAGTGATCAAGCTTTGAGCAGATAAAGCTAAGGAATGTATAGGCACGAATTTTTTTTTGATAAAAGTAAATAAATGGCTGTAGGTAGAAAAAGGGGTTCCTACCCTTTTACTGGACCAAGGTGAATGAAGGCATGTAATTCATTACTATTCTGCCAAAATAAAATTATTGTTTCTAAAAGAAAATTCAGTTTCTCCTTCAAATGCCGAAGAAGAAATATGTTGATAAAAACTGTTCTTGCACCTGAAAGAAGCAGTGCTTTTCACTGGAATTCAATTTTAATTAGGCCTTTTAATAAGGTACTTTAAAATAAAAAGAAAAATATGTGGAAATCCTAAGAAGTATTTGGCTACTGTTTACTTATAAAGAGTTTACCTGGAAAAAAAAAACAGGAATCTGCTAAGAAATAGATTTATACTTTCCAACTGTAAGACTTCCAACATAATATTATCAGCCATAACCAGATTGGTAAATGTTTGAGCAACTCTCACTGAAATGAATATATGCCAATGTACCAAATATAAGGTGGTAGCTATTGCTGTTAAGATATAATAGCTGTTCAAAGCCAGCCTGGGCAAAAAAGTCTGTGAAACTCTTATCTCCAATAAACCACCAGAAAACCAGAAATGGTGCTGTAGCTCAAGTGGTAGAGCACTAGCCTTGAGCTGACGAGCTGAGGGACAGCGCTCAGGCCCAGAATTCAAGACCCACGACCGACCAAAAAAGAAAAAAAAAAAGATATAATAGCTCAAGTGCTTTTCCTCAGGTAGCAAAGGTCAGTAGAAAATATGCCATCTAGGGCTGGGAAGGTGGCTCAGTGGTAGAGCGCTTGCCTTGCATACATGAGGCCCTGGGTTCGATCCTCAGCACCACATAAGCAAAAAGAAAAAAAAGCTGGAAGTGGCACTGTGGCTCAAGTGGTAGAGCACTAGCCTTGAGCTGAAGAGCTGAGGGACAGCGCCCAAACCCAGAGTTCAGGTCTCACGACTGGAGCCAAGAAAAAAGAAAATATGCCAGCTATTTGGAAAGCTTAAGCATTATTGAAATATAAGATAGGAAAAAACTGAAATTCACTTTCAAATGCTGCCACAAGAATCAATCACTCACTACTTTCAAAGACAAGTTTTTCTGAGTGAATAATACTATTTATCATCTTTGTTAGTGTTACTGTTAATAGAGTACTTCTATGCTTAAACAACTGCAACCTTTCTACTTTCTTTTTTCTGATAGTGATAGAAAAAGGTGCCGAGGGCTTTTACACATGTTGATGAAGTACTCTACCATTGAGTCACACTTCTGCAACTGATACGTTATCTTTTCTAAAGTCAATTTCATTTGTTTGGCTGAATGTGAAATTTTATTTAATAGCATATAAAATTAGTATGAAAATTTAGCATTTTTCTGTTACAATAAAACAGATATAATTTCCACTTTTACTTAGGATGGTAAGTTAACATTACAAGACCTAACATTAAAACTCATTTAAAGGATGGCTTGAAAAATACATGTACAAATAAATCTGCATTCTCAAAATAATTTTAATCATAAATATAGCATAGATAAACATATAGAAAAACATAGAGGGAATAAGCTTACTTCATTATCTCCAGCAATGTAGAATGATAGGGTCTGGCTACCAAGATTAAAATCAACCCAAAATTCCTCAAGTTTTTCATCTGCTGGTATTTGCAACTAATAAAAGAAACATACAAAACTAGTATAAGCTATGCTTTGAAAAATGAAAGTGGAAAGTTATGATCAGATTATATTAATGGCCATTTTTTTAGTTTAATATCTTCCTTGGTTTTAATTTATGAGTCTAGAATCTAACTATATCCTAGAGAATTAATGTTCTACTGTAACTAGAACAACAGAAAAGTATAACATTTAGATGAATTTAGAAACAAAGGGAAAGTGATTTTAATAGTTAAAACAAAAATTAGATTAAAAATAAATCTTTTAAATGCTAATAGAGGTTAGAAATATTAATGTGAATACATTTGAATGGTAAGTCAATAAAAGGGCTGTCTGAAGAACCTGAAGATTTGGAGTTCAGCCTTCAATATTTCAGTTTATATTTGTCCATAGCTGCATTATTTCATATCATTATCCTGGTGTCACTAACATTTACAGAATACTAGACCGTATGTATTATATGCTAATTAACTACAAGTATCTTTAATGATTTTTTTATCTGTAATCTATAATTTGCTTAACTCACATCAAAATTTATCCAATAACTAAAAGAGCATTAAATCAAAAACTTACCTCATGTTTATCAAGAAATGCAGACAAACAAGGAAATGTGAAGACCCTGAAATCCAAAATAGTTTAAGAAAAATATTAATAAGCCTTCAAAGTATAATCTTATTCTGGTGACAGAAATTATGCCTAAAGTTTTAGGAAAATTCAGCATTGGTTATAATTTTTAATAAAACCATGTTTTCCTTGATAAGTTTTTTCTTTTTTTTTTTGGTCAGTCGTAGGGCCTGAACTCAGAGCCTGGGTGCTGTCCCTCAGCTCTTCAGCTCAAGGCAACCACTCTACCACTTGAGCCATAGCACCACTTCCGGCTTTTTCTGCTTATGTGGTGCTGAGGAATTGAATCCAGGGCCTCATGCATGCAAGGCAAGCACTCTACCACTGAGCCGCCTTCCCAGCCCCCGCTTGATAACTCTTTAATTATTATTTTTGAAAGGGAAGGGTTGCCTAGGCTAGCATCAAAGTAGAGATCCTCCTGCCTCAGCTGTCCAATAGCTGTTATTAGAGGCTCAAACTACCAATGTCAACAACTATGTTTTTTTAAATTTTATTTTATTGTAAAGATGCTGAACAGGGGGGTTATAGTTACATGAGTAAGGTAATGAGTACATTTCTTGTCTAACATTGTTACTCCCGCCTTTGTTTTTCTCCTATTATCCCTTCTCTCCCCTACTCCTCTACTCTACTCCCCCCCACCACCCAGAAGTTGTAAAGTTCATTTCCAACATACTGTCTTGTGGGTCTCATTGTTGAAATGGGTCATCCTGTGGTCCTGGTTTCAGCATTTTGTTATTTCCCTTCCCCTCCCCAGATTAGATAAATGTATATACAAGATGCAAGGTACCAAAATCAAATAGGGTGACAATGGGGGATATACCATAGAGGGAAGAACATACAAAAAAAAACAAAAAAAATCACATAGTACATTAAAAACAACAATGACAAAGAAAAACCTCTTGTGTCCATATCTTGGGGTTCATTTACCCAAATGATCACAAACAAGGCCATACTAAAGCTATCAGCACAATTATGTAAATCACAGCATTATTACCATAGCTAAGATATGGAACAAACCCAGATGTCCCTCAGTAGATGAATGGATCAAGAAATGGAAAGACTTGGGGAAAAAATCATATTAAGTGAAGTAAGGCTGACCCAAAGAAATATAGGTCCCATGTTTTCCCTTATTTGCAATAATTAGTATATGTCTAGGACAATCTTATCAGATGAGCAGAAAGGCTCAAGAACTGTATTCATATGACCATATAAGATGATGCTAGCGGGGCGCCTGTGGCTCATGTCTGTAATTCTAGCCACTCAGGAGGCTGAGATCTGAGGATCGCAGTTCAAAGCCAGCCTGGGCAGGAAAGCCCATGAGACTCATCTCCAATAAACCACTCGAAAACTAGAAGTGGTGCTGTGGCTCAAGCAGTAGAGTGCTCGCTTTGAGCTGAAGAGCACTGGGACAGCGCCCAAGCCCAGAGTTCAAGCCCCACAACCAACAAAAAAAAAAAAAAAAGCTAAATGAAACAACTATGTTTTTTAAAACAAGTATTCAATGAAAATTTAGGAAAAGAAAAGCATATTACTTTGAAGATAATGCTGAACTCAACTTTGCCTAAGTAATTATATCAAGCTTTTAGTATCCTATCAACTATAGACAGAATCCTAATTTCAGGTATATATTATTAATACAGTGGAAATTCCAATAGGACTTGCACAGAAAAAAGGAGAAGTAAATAGTTTTGCTAAACAAAAATGGGAACATTCCCAGTATGTTTTCTTGATCAGATACTATTTTAAACACTTTAGTATATCATTTCCTTTCATCATTACAAAAATATCTAAGGTAAGTATTATTATATTCTAATATTATAATCAAGTAAACTGATGTAAGGTTAAATAGTTTGCTCATAAATGGGAAGATGGGAATTTGTGATTCAAATCAAGACAAAAGTAAACCAAATGTAAATTCATTCATCCATAACAATAAAATACAAGGCATTAGTTACATCATTTTTTTACCTTCTTTTTACCAGTCCTGGGCCTTGAACTCAGGGCCTGGGTGCTGTCCCTGAGGTTCTTTTGTTCAAGGCTAGAACTCTACCACTTCAGTCATAGCTCCTCTTCTGACTTTTTTGGTAATTTATTGAAGCTAAGACTCTCCTGGACTTTCCTGCCCAGGCTGGCTTTGCACTGCAGTCCTCAGATCTCAGCCTCCTGAGTAGCTAGGATTAAAGGCATAAGCCACCAGGTGCACAGCAGTTGTTATTGTTGTTTTACATTCTTAAAAAAACTCAAGAACTGGGAAGGTGGCTCAGTGGTAGAGCGCTTGCCTTGCATGCATAAGGCCCTGGGTTCAATTCCTCAGCACCACATAAGCAGAAAAAAAAAAGCCGGAAGTGGTGCTGTGGCTCAAGTGGTAGAGTACTAGCTTTGAGCTGAAGAGCTGAGCTTATATATTCTTCCTCAAACACTAAATTATAACTCATATATCACTCTTAAACATGGTAAACCAAAATGAACATTAAAGCTAATAGTGTGAATTAAATAAAATGCTGGGCTGGGAAGGTGGCTCAGTGGTAGAGTGCTTGCCTTGCATGCACAAGGCCCTGGGTTTGATTCCTCAGCACCACATAAGCAGAAAAAAAAAAAAGCCAGAATTAGCACCATGGCTCAAGTCACGGAGTACTAGCCTTGAGCTGAAGAGCTGAGAGAGCCCAGGCCCAGAGTTTAGGCCCCACAACCGACCAAAAAAATAAATAAAACAAATAAAATGCATCTTTTCCTCTAAAACGTGAAAGTCAAAACTCCATCAGAGGATTACACTTGATACAGAATATAGTAACTTATTAATTTAGGTGAAATATTGTTTTTAAGTAATATCAAAGATCATTCTATACTCTAGCATATTAGAATAAATAAAATTCTCTATGTTCGTCAATAAATGATTATGTATTGTTAAATTTACCTTCTTTTATCTCCAAGCATGCCATTTACAAGATTGAGAAATAGCCTGCAATCCTAATTTTAAAAAGAGAAAGCTTTAAAAATTCATAATTAAGCAAACATTTATTAATTTTTGTAATTTTTATACTACTTACTGTTTCAAATTCACAGTCTTTAATTCCTTTAAATGCATTAGCAATAAAATCTATTGAAAACCACTGATATGCCAATTCTTGTCTTTGTTTTTCTGTAGTCATTCTACATAAAGCTTCCACAATGCCTACCTGTAAGTCATAATCTATAAAAACAATTGTTACTGTGCAAGTTGAAATTGTGAAAATTGTATAAAAATACACTTTATATTTTACAAGTTATTAGAACAAGAAATGAATATAAATTCTTCATTTTTACTAACAGAAAAGCATGCAATTTTTAAAAATTAAAGAAATGCTTTAATTCCCAAGGACACTAGCACTATATTACTAGAGTTATAATCTTTGAAAATGCTTTATGCAGCAATACCTAAATAATAAAATCTCTTTTCCATTAGCATAGCATGATGTTTACAGTTACCCCCAGAATATTTTAAGCAAGGCTTTATTTTATATATAGATTAATACGTCAAAATTTGCTCATAGAAAACTTAGGAAAGAAAATTTATGTTTTTTAGTAAGTATCTTGTTTTTAAAAGTCTATCAGTTGGTTTTTTTTTGGTCGGTCATGGGGCTTGAACTCTGGGCCTGGGCTCTGTCCCTGCGCTCTTCAGCTCAAGGCAAGCACTCTACCACTTGAGCCACAGCGCCACTTCCAAAAAGTCTATCAGTTTTAAGAACATTAAATTTCCTAATTTCATAAAACATAATTTGAGTTTTTTCTTACAAATTTTTCCAATATCTTGGAAAATTAACTTATTATACTATTACCATTACACAAATTTTTGAATTCCAATTATAATAAAAATTATTTTGTCCCAAAGATACTTCTTTTCATTATTTTACTAAAGTAATTTAAAGCTTGCTTCATTATACATAAACAACTTATAATTCTCCTAACATTATAATGTTAATAATTTATCAAAGAATATACCACTCATAAACTTTAAATAACTTCAAATCTTAAAATTATATACTTACCTCCAGCATCTATAATTCTTTCTCCCATACTACTCCTGTGAATTAAAATAACAGATTATATGCAGGACTAGCATCCTTTAAATAGAAAGTCCATGTATTTTGGGGAAGGGTTTTTTTAAACTTTACAGTATGCTAGTATATCTAACTTTTGGAGAAAATACACTCATAATATATCAATTTATAAAGCTTAACAGTTTTGATGATTTAATTCCAACTTAGTTTCTATGTTGCTTTCTAAAACATTCTTTAAATTCTTGACTTAAACAACTAATAAAAGTAATATCTGGCAAATTATTACATGAGAGTTGACATTTCTTGAGTAGCAAGTATTTTCCTGGTATCTCGTGGCATTTTGTCAAGCATAGCATTTATTTTTTTAAATGTCTAGAAAACAAAAGATAATGAGTTAAGTTTATTTTCATTGAAATGTTAAGTATTTAAAATAGAATCATAAACTTAAAAGTTCACTTTTTTCTTAATCACTGTATTTTATGCACAGAATGGAGTAGTGTGAAAGAAAAGACATCAAATATAAAATAGCTAATACAAAAAGACATAAACCATGGATAATTAAAAGTAAAACATGCAAGCCAGGTGCCGGTGGCTCACACCAAGCTACTCAGGAGGCTGAGATCTGAGGGATCATGGTTCAAAGCCAACCTGTGAAGAAAGTCCATGAGACTCATCTCCAATGAACCACCAGAAAACCAGAAGTGGAGCTGTGGCTCAAGTGGTAGAGTACTATCCTTGAGCTGAAGAGCTGAGGAACAGTGCCCAGGCCCAGAGTTCAAGCCCCATACCAACAAAAAAACAAAAAAGAAGAATATGACTCCTGTCCTTAAGACATTTATATTCTTTGCAAAATGATAACTTTATAATTATTCTAAGAGCTAAGAAATCTAAAAACTGCTACATTTAAATTTTTGTTTATGTGGTTATACATATATAAATATATGTACAAGAAGTAAGTTCTTTTGGCATATTAATACTTTAGACTTCTTTGTATCTGGACAATATAATTTATTTTCACATGAGTCATATGCATACAAAATCCATGTGGCTATGAATTTTTAACCATTTTTATTAGTAGATATTAGTTGTATAAGGGGGTTTCATAGGATCTTTCTACATATTCATACATATATTCACCCCTCTACCACTCTTTGCCATGAATTTTTGTTACCTCTTTTTAAAAAACTGAATTGTCCAGTTGCAAAACAAACACATTCTTGATCAGATTTTTAAATATTTAGAAATTATATTGTCAAGCACTGAATTCTCAGACAACAGCAATAAAATTACAAGAAAGTTTAGCCCAAAGTAATTTTTTAATTTAGCCCAAAGAACTGCTATCACATTTTCTTTACCTTCTCATCTCTGAGTTTAAAAAGACAGTCAAATAAGCTTACCTCTTGCTGAATAGAAATATTCACTCTTGTGTTGGTAGCCAAGGCACAAATTCGAGTCAAAAAATTTTCCACTACTTGCTTTTTACCTGAATAAAAGTTCAATTATTGATGTTAATTTTAAATCTTTTTGTCAGGAAGTCTTTTCTTATAGAAAACATTTATGAAAACTGGGCTAATTGATGTTTAATCATGTATCCAAAGTCCCTTATAATGACCATCAACATATCTTGCTCTCATGCAGTTCTAAGTGATAATGCGCTATCTTCAAGTTAGCCCATTTTCAAAAGATGAGACTTTATCAATATAAAATGTATTCAGAGGATAATGTCACATGCCATTTCATAATGCAAATTTTAGAAATAATGTAAAACAATAGAAACATTTCAAGTGAAAATGTACAAATTTCCCAAGTGACTATGTTGAAAGAAAAACTGTACTCAGATGAAAATATACACTGATTTACTTTAAAAAGTCAGATTGATAACTGAATTGTTGATGTTTTTAGGACCTTTTTCTCTCCTAAAATCTTAAGCACTTTTACTAGATTGCTATGTCAACTGAAAAAAAAAATAACCAAAAATTGAGAAAGTAGCATTAAGTATAATTTGAGTTATGTTTGTTTAACCTTTTTGGTCTACAGTATATAATTTATAGCTTTATTCATGAATAGTTCACCACCTCAATTCCCAATCCTGGAAAAAATCTTCCTCAACCAACACAGATCTGATTGCTTTGCAGAAGACATTTGCTAGGCAAATATGAAAGGTGAATTACAATATGCTCTGTATTCTCAATTTACCACTGAAAATTTTGTTCCATTAGATCAAGTATTGACAAAATGAAATATGAATTAAATCCAACTCACTGCCTATTTTTATATGTTTGTATTAATCATCAGCTGATGCTACATGGGAAAACATTTGAATGCATTGTGTTTTATTAATGAATAGTGACAAAGGTAAGCTTCATTCATCCTCTTGAACATAACTATTGTCAGTTATATAAATTCAGAAATAGAAGCTGAACATCCTACTTTCTCTACCACTCAGGAATCTAGTGGCTTGTCAATAACAATTTCTTTGTGACTCTTTCATACTTAGGGCCAATAATTAAATTTTTCTGAACAAGATCTGTCTACAATCATTACAGTAATTAGCTTTCCAAAACTGTCTTTAACACCTAGGGTAATTATCTGCAGAGTTGAGAATGTTGCTTACTGAGTTAAGTCCCAAATTATAAGACAAAATATTGTATATTTACTGAATTTGCATTGCAATAGCCATTTTAATGATTAGTGTTACTAAATAGCAAGTAATAATTCTATAGTACTTCATACACTTCCTAGACTGTCAAAAGTTAAAACAAGCAGCAGATTTCAGTTCCCACACAACTTCCTAAGAAACTATATTTCCCAAGCTCCAATTTCAAGTCCAGAGGTACTTTTTGATCTTGATGTTAGTGCAAAGAAAGTTTTCATATCTTGGATTTCACATAGACTTCGACATTCTAAAGAACAAATATTTTTAAAACAACATAACTGAATTCAATAAATGGCTTTGAATGAATGAGGGTGCTCAATTAAAATCTTGTTCATAAACTCATATGAGTACTGGACATTGTATGAAGAGACTGTGTTCATAAACTCATATGATTACTAGGCATTATCTGTATGAAGAGACGGTGTTCATAAACTCATAGGAGTACTGGGCACTATCTATATGAAGAGATGTTTTCTAATTTGACACGCATAAATTTCATGAACATTAATAAATGAATATTTGTCATGAACTTTAAAAACAGGAAACTCTAGCTTTAAACTTTGATTAAATACAATGTTATCTCTTCATAAAAAAACATCTTCTACATGAGTAGATCCACAAATGAAAATTTATGTATATATATTCTTTTTTTATTTTTTTAGGGGGGTCCAGTCATGGGGCCTGAACTCTGGGTCTGGGCGCTGTCCCTCAGCTCTTCAGCTCAAGGCTAGCACTCTATCACTTGAGCCACAGTGCCACTTCTGGCTTTTTTTCTTTTTGCTTATGTGGTGCTGAGGAATCGAACCCAAGGCCTCAGGCATACAAGGCAAGTGCTCTATCACTGAGCCACCTTCCCAGCCCCTGTATATATATTCTTATCTGCATCAATAAAACATTTTAGAAATTTGTTGTTGTTAACTACCCACATAATATGTGCATTTATCTTAGCCAACAAAATTAATTTTAGTGTCTTGACCTTTGCAGAAAATGTTGATTGAATTTGCTAATCAGATCCTAATATTAGGACAATAATATGGGAATTACAAAACTGTACTAAAACAGCAAATTTTTGTTTCAACAGAAAGAAAACATTTATTTTACCTTCATCACTGATGTCATAGATGGCCTGAAAAATGAATAATATTTAATTAATAAGATATTTATATTATAAGCCATCACAAATAGTATTAAACTGATATAGTATTTTAATTCATAATGTAATTATTTAACTTGTACTTATTAATGAGCTATTTAACACTAAACAATTTAAATATATTAGAGAATCTGGATAGATTAATCCATCAAGTCACTAACCCATCTGTTAGTGATTCCTAGGGCCAAGGAATAGAAATGCACAAGGTTTCTGAAATAAACATAAAATATCATCAGTTCCTCAATGTGATATTTACCATCAAAAGCTCAAAGAAGTCTTCTGTCAAATTTAAAACATCTTCATCTTTTGAATTTCCTCGACTCAAAATAATCTCTTCAGATTTTTCAAACCAGGTAACCATGTAAAAAATAAATGTACATTTTATTTGCTGTGAATTCCATTTTAATAATTAAAATATGAACTGTATTTATGTAAATAGCAAGCCCAGGAAGAAACACTAAAAATAAAAATCCTAGCATTTTATCAGAAGATAACATTTTTCATTTTCAGTTTTAGGAGACAGGGACTCATCTCCCAATCCTCCTGCCTCAGCCTCCTATACTGAGATTACAGGTATGAACAACCATGTTGGGTTTAAAATTCTTCCTCCCCCTGTTTCCTTCTTCTTCTCCTTCTCCCTCTCTCTCCCCCTTTCCCTCTCTTGTCTCTATCTCTGTCTCTCTGTCTCTCTCTCCCCTGTTAACTATTTTAGTTCCAGTTAGAAGATCCTTCTTTCTATCTTTAAATTCTTAGTGCAGATACATTATAATGGTAAAACTAAATTATCATGAAATTTTATTGTTAAACAATAATGATATCAGAAGTTATAGTATTATTTTACCTTAATAAATCATTTAGATTTTTGAGTATATATTATGGTCCCAGGTAGTGTTTTAGATTTTGATCATTTTGAGTGAAAAATTAAAAAAAACAATATCCATTATTTACAGTAAATGATATAAAAACAAATTAAAAAACAAACTAAATAGTGATTAAGGCAAGCTTAAATTCATATGATTACCAATGAGTTTGTATATGAGGTTTCCTGGTGATCTGTATATCTTGTTAGCTATACAAGTTATGAATGTATTTCTTCTCTAATTTCCATATAAAGTTCTTAGATTATTTCTCAACAGTGCAGATCACTTGTTATTTTAATAAAAATGTACTTTTATTATATTTCCCTCACACAAATATCATTTATATTCTGTACTTATCTTTTGAACTAGTCCTTGTTTTATCATGGTTACAAGCCCAGCTTGTCCCAATATACTGATATTTTTGCTACATCTTCCAACTGACACCAAAATGGTTGAAACATTTTCGACATCCTTTTTATTAAGTTCCTAAAATAAAAATATGCATTTAAGCTTTTGAAAACAGAAAAATACTACAAAACAGACAATGCAGCAGCATTACATATATTTCTTTTTTCCTTTGTCGGTCATGGGTCCTGAATGCTGAGCTTGGGCATTGTCCCGAAGCTCTTTTGCTCAAGGCTGGTGCTCTAGCCCTTAAGTTTCAGTGCTACTTCAGTTTTCTGTTGGTTAATTGGATAAAAGAGTCTCATGGACTTTCTTGCCCAGGCAGGGCTTTAAACCTGGGTCCTTAGATCTCAGTCTCCTGAGTAGCTATGATGACAGACTTAGTCATCGGTCTCACCACATGTATTCTAATCGTGAAAGGCAGCAATTATCATCATTTCTATGTTGGAAAGGATCGAGTGCCACTCTGAAGGAATCTGCCCCAAATCGCCCAGCTAATCAATGACAGTGAGGACAACATCTGAGATCTACATAAATTAAAGAAAGTTGAGCATATCAGCCCCCTTTCATTCTAAATACTTGTATTTAGCTAACAAATCCAGTGAATTATTATTCAGTCTTTATGATACTGGGGAGTCTTGTAAGTAATCACCTTTTTTCAAGCATGAAAATGCTTCAGGTTTGCTAATCAAATCCAAAAACTTGCTTTTTAAAGTACTGTCACATCAAGAATATACTGATATAGGGAGAGTAACAGAGGAAGTAAGATTGGATATATTGTAAACATGTGGAAATTTTGATAATGTAATCATCCCTGTGCAACTATCATAAACTAAATAAAAGGATCAAGAGGCTAGGAAGGTGGCCTAGTTGTAGAGTGCTTGCCTTGCATGCATGAGGCCCTGGGTTCAATTCCTCAGCACCATATTAAGCAGAAAAAGCCAGAAGTGGCACTGTGGCTCAAATGATAGAGCATTAGCCTTGAGCTTAAGAGCTCAGGGACAGCGCCCAAGCCCAGAGTTCAGGCCCCACAACCGCCAAAAAAAAAAAAGGATCAAGTTGTTTTGAATCAAAACAGTATATAATTTTCCCCAGTTTATATAATACTTTACAGTGTTAGCCCTTTGTAAATAAAAATGTATTTTCTTTAGAAAAGAATTCACTGTGTTTAGATTTCTCAAAAATAAGCAATTTCTGAAGCATGTTTAATTATAAGCAAGCTCATCCAGCCCTTCTAGTCCATTTTTTTTCTGGTAGAATACTTCTTACTTTTTCCTAGGAAATAAAATCCTACATAATAATTTTAAGAACTGTTTAGCAAAAATGAGTTCTTACCCTGCATATAAGGTCATCCAACTTGTGGAAAAACTGTTTAGTGCACTTAATCTTCACATCTTCACAAACATCAATTTGTAAAAGCGTTTTCAAAGATTTGAAATTGTTTTTTCTCAAAGCATCATCAATGTATTTTTCCAACTGCTACAAAAGCATAGTTAATAGCACATATATTGAATCAAAACCAGAATTGCAGCCATATATGCAGATAGACAAATACAGCTTTTAAAAGTTATACCAACTAATAGCTAAACCTTATTCTTACATATATTTATAAGCTTTACAAAATTTACTGTTCCTGATATTAAAGTAATAATTTTCAGACTACAGTCTGATCACTACACAGACTTGATGGTAAATTGTATTCACAAAGAAAAGATACATTAAAACTTACTCTTTACTTAATAAAATATCGTACAATTTTAAAATGTTCTATCAAAATTCAGGAATAAAACTTTAAACCATGCATAGATCTTTTCCATGTAAAAAGGTATATATAACAAATTAGTACCTTAAGTACTTTATATTCTTAATATGACTTCTGAAAACTTGTCTATTGAATAGATGAAAGGGTATTGTTATTTAAATTATGATCCTCTGGATGACTTCATAAAACATAAGCTTTTTCATTGTTAGAAATAAAGAAATGAATACTTATAAACACAAAGTAATTTTAGCAATTAAAATACTTGTTTTGGATCTAGGATTACATACTTGAAGATCTGGTCTGATTGGCATTTTGACTTCATTTAAAAACAGCAGGAGACAAGAAACATCTATAAAAGAAAAAAATATGTGTCTTAAAATCAGTTCTACTCAGTTTTTTGGTTTTTGTTTTTTTTGGGGGGGTCCAGTCATGGGGCCTGACCTCTGGGCCTGAGCGCTGTCCCCTCAGCTCTTCAGCTCAAAGCTAGTGCTCTACCACTTGAGCCACAGTGCCACTTCCGGCTTTTTTCTTTTTGCTTATGTGCTGCTGAGGAATCGAACCCAGGGCCTCAGGCATGCAAGGCTCTACCACTGAGCCACCTTCCCAGCCCCTACTCAGTTTTAAAAGCTTCACATACTACAAATAAACACTGCTTTTTATTACCAAATGGGATAAATACTATCTCTTTAAATTCTTCACTGGATATTTTTTATGCCTTTTAATCAAATTAGATAGCTAGTCAAATATATTTCTAGTTGAAAACAGAGATCATTTACTCAAGCCTCAACTTTTACAGATTTTGAAATTTATGTCAAAAAGCCTTGCCAATTGGTCACAAAGTTCACTAGTGAAAGAATATAAACTTAAGACTTCCCTCAACAATGATACCTGCCTGCTACAATGTGTTTCAGTTTGGTGAACAAGACCAAAGTAACATTTGAGTTAATTTCTGAATAAAATTTTTACTATTAATAAAATACTGAAGGAGAGAAGAATATACAAATACATTAACAAAGAACTGGATCAGTCAGAAAACAGAAATATTAAAATGAGGTAAGGACAACCTAAAGACATTTTGCATGTGCAGCAGAATATTCAGGAAGAATAAGCCTCAAGTTTCTGGGCTGACTGCCCAAAATCAAGCTGAGAACAAACTTTTCCCCTTTGACAAGGGAAAATGTGTACATATTTTAAAACCTATAGGCTATATGTGGCCTGGTGGTTGAGCAATTGCTTAGACCCACAGCACAAGCAGATGGTAATTATGAGAAGAGACACTTTAATTCATTTATTGCTATGTACATAAAGATTACAAAACAGGACTAAGAATTTTGGCAGAGAACTGGGAATTGGATTGAGGGATAGAAAAAGCCCAGAAAATTTCAAAAGGAACCAAATAGTTTTAAAAGTGAGAATAGTCAATAATTATTTAGAACTGATATATAGGTTTAATAGCAAATTAAGACATGGATAAAGTGAAAATGGATGAAACACCGTATCAGAAGAAATATTCAGCATGAAGCAAAAAGATACAAAATATATAGGTATCAAGGGGGGTACAAGAACATAAAAATATATATATATTATTAAGCCTTCTGTATGTGTGACTGAATCCCAAGAAAGGAGATACAGAATAGGGCAGAAGCAATATCTTAAGAGATTATGACTGAATTTCCTTGACTCAACAAAATCCATAAACCTAAAGATTCAAAAAGCTCTACAAATCCCTGCAAAAGAGAAGAGGGGGGAGGGAGGAAAAAGAAAAGAAAACCAAGTCCAGGCACACCATGCAAAATTGCTGAAATTTAAAAAAACCTAGAGTATAAAAATGAGAGATTACTTTTAAACAGCATCAGTAAGACTGACAGGTGACCAACTGAAAACAATGAAAACCATAAAATTGGAATGACATTTTCTTTGAAGTGTTTATCAAAAAATCTGTGCACATTAGAACCCTATGGCCTGCAAAAAATATTTTTCAAAATTAGAGAAAAATATATTTTGAGAGAAAAAGATAAGACAAATGTTCAATGTTTAGAATATGTCACCAATAGCCTCTAAATAAAATAAATGCCTTGCCAGAAGGAAAATGGTCCTCTATGGAAGACTGTGTAGGAAGGGATAGAGTAGTTGGCACCAGAGGCTCATGTCTGTAGTCCTGGCTATTCAGGGACTGAGAAACCAGCCTGGGCAGGAAGGTCCATGAGGGTCTTATCTCCAATAAAGTGCCCCAAAAGCCAAAGTGGAGCTGTGGCTAAACTGGTAGAGTGCTAGCGTTGAGCAAAAATGCTCAGGGACAGCATGTAGACCCTGAGTTCAAGTCCCAAGACTGGCATGTGTACACACACACACACACACACACACACACACACACACAGAGTAACAAAAGCCTACATATATGTTAGTACACAAAATAATATTTTATAATGTTAACAATGTATTGCAATAGACTTGCAATACAGGGGAATAGCATATGAGACGTGGTGGCGGTAAAGTATGTTAAAGCATTCCAAGTTTGATGGCTGTCTATCAGACAATAATAAGGGGAAAGCCAGGCGCCGGTGGCTCAAGCCTGTAATCCTAGCTACTCAGGAGGATGAGATCTGAGGATCATGGTTCAAAGCCAGCCAGGGAAGGAAAGTCCATGAGACTCTTACTCCAATAAACCACTAGAAAACTGGAAGTGGTGCTGTGGCTCAAGCAGAAGCGTGCTCATCTTGAGCTGAAGAGCTGAGGGACAGCACCCAAGCCCAGAGGTTCAAGCCCCACAACCAACAACAACAAAAAAGGGTGGGGGGAAATGTACCATTTCTGAGGTAATCAGTAAATGAGTAGTTAAAAACTGTGCAACTACTAAATGCAAGGTAATACGTTTATTAAGTCCTTAAGACTAGGAGAACAAGTTCCCAACCCAGAACAAAGAAAGCACAAAGCAAGGTGGCAGACTGGAAGTTAAACATCAGTTACTATATGGAACTACCATATACTAAATATTGTAGAAAGTTAATGTCACTTTAAAATGGGCATAGTGGCTATTTGGAATTAAAGAAACTTTTAAAAATGTACAAAGTCACTCTTTCATTCTATTTCTTTTTTTTTGGGGGGGGGGTCAGTCGTTGGGCCTTAGCTCTTCCGCTCAAGGCTAGCACTCTACCACTTGAGCAACAGCGCCACTTTCAGCTTTTTTTTTCTGCTTATGTGGTACTGAGGAATCGATCCCAGGGCCTCATGCATGCAAGACAAGCGCTCTACCACTGAGCCACCTTCCCAGCCCTATCATTGAATTTCCCATGTTAAAGATGCTCTTTATCTTTCCCCAAAGGAAAAATCTATCCCAAAAGGAAAATAACATTCTTGTCTTCAAGGACTGAAAGGTGAAGGTAAGAAAACTATGTAAACAAGCCTTGTTAAGCCAATCATTATCTACCTACTCTCTTCTTTAACCGTTAGCTACTTAGGTCCACGCCCTCTCTTCATTATGGAATTTCACAGTTTTCTAGTCTTAGTCCAATCTCAGTATGATTCTAATTGTTTCTTTGAGCTTATGTTTTCTTATGAGGGCTCCTGAGTCAGCTAAAATTTACATTAAATACTTCTGTATGTTTTTTCTCATGTCAATCTGTCTTGTCAATTTAATTCTCAGGCCTACCCAGGGGGGAAAACACCACACACACACACACACCACACACACACACACACACACACACACACAGGCCTACCCAGGGGGGAAAACACCACACACACACACACACACACACACAATATCCAGAACATACAAATAACTCAAAATATTAAATAAGAATAATCCCATTCATAAATAGGCAATCAAACTGGACAGTTCTCATAAGAAGAAATAAATGACTAATATGTGAAGAAACATTCAATATCCTACAACATGAAATACAAATCAAAATGATACTAAGATTCCATCTCACTCCAGTCAGAATGGCAGCCAAGAGAAACAACAAACAAATGTAAAATCACTATGGAAACCAGTAGTTTCCTCAAAAGACTAAAAATATATCTGAAGGAGAGTATGGAAAAGGGGAATGTGAAAGAGAAAAAAAGATATAGTGCAAATATATACACACACACACACACACACACACACACACACACACATATATATATATATATACAAACAGCATAACAATCCCAAAGAAAGCTGTTGAGCAGTGAGGGGATGGGTGTGGGGAGAGAAACTGTCAAGGGGGATACCGGTGGGCGCAGTGAGATAATGAGGATAAGGAGGCTCAGGGCAGGGAGATAGATAGATGAGTTGCATGAAACCTGTTGACATTGTGTTGAAAAGAGGAAGAGGGCAGGGAGTGTGATTACAAAAAAATCAGGTTGTCTGATAGTTTCAACAATTAAAAAGTACACACTTTCTATTTCCATCTATGAATCCACATACTATCAAAAATAACACCTTGAAGAGATTTACCTTCAATACGAAAGTACTAAGTAAAAGGCCAGAAAAACATATCCCACATAAACATTAACCAAAAGAAAACTGGCAAATATATATTAATATTAGATTTACCACAAAAGCCAATGTGATATAGCTAAAAATGATGGAACCAATTGGAGAATCCAGATATATATGACAAGTGACATACAACAAAGGTATAACACAAAGTAGTAATAAAACTTTACTATCACACATCAACTACCTCATATCACATTCCTATGTCATAACTAGGTGGATTAAAAATTCAAATGTGAAAGGTAAATCAGTCTTCCAGAAAATAATGTACTAGAATAACATTATGATCTCACAATAAGTATTTATTAAACATATAATAAAAAAGCACCTACCATAAAGAAAATAAGTTAGATAATTAGAACTTTTGTCCAATCCAGAAAGTAAATGATACTTGCACATTTTATAGCTTAGAAGTACTATCTTAGACTAGATAGATAATTCTTACTAGACAATCAACTTTTTAAAAGACCCACTTTAAAAAAACAATCTTGGGGTTGGGAATGGGCAAGGGAGTTTACTTGGCTTGTATATTTGTGACTAAAATATAATAGACGGTACATGGTATAATCAGCATTTCTAACTATAAGCTATGCAGTGGTCTCTTGTGGCTTTAAATTTTATTTCCTTAATAACTAATGATAGTAAGTAGCTTTCCATGTGATCTCCTATTATCGTATCCAATTTCCAGCCAATCTTTTGTGAACGTTAAGTAAAATTGGAAGAGTTCTTTATAAATCCACTAGGAGGGAGGAGGGGCTGGCCACCTTTGGTGACCTGGGAGGCACAAACTCATCCTTGGGGCCTAGGCACGCAGCACCCACCCAA